GATTGACTCAAGTTGATGATCACGTGCTGCGTCGATGACTTGCATACGGCCTGGCACGAGCTGTTGATCACTGATCAACGACGCCGTCACAACACATCCTCGGATCTGACTACCCCAGCTCTCGGTAATGTGAACTACATGGATCTCCGCAGACAGCATCTATCCTTCTTCTTACTCTCGTCTTCTTGTCACTCTTCATCTCAATTTTCAGCAGACAACAAGCATCTTTTGCCTCGGCACAGCCTCAGGCACAAGTTGACAAGAGATAGCGCACTTATTGGGACTCCGGTAGCGACAAACTAGAGCAACATGATGATCGTCACACCCTAACCAGCAGATCTTCTCACGATTGCCTTTCTCATAGGTAAGCCAATGCGCTATGCAAGATTGGGGCATGTGGCAAAGCTGAGGCCCAACAACCCTGCAACCGTGGAGACTGAAATGACACCACGCGATAATAGTTCAAAGGTTTCTTCCAATTTACGCCAAATTGAAAGCGACAGGGCCGCTGCTGACATTCTTGGTATCTGGAATCTTTGAGAAGATGCTCCAAGAAGACGAGTAGGGTATCTTCCGTTGGATATTATGCTGGCTAAAGATACTTTCAGGCGTTTACGGATAGTTGTCGCTATCGAAAGTCCCACCATTTTGCAGCAGTCACGCTGCAAAGCATTGAAGGGCCGGCTAGGCACATGCCAAAAATGCGCTCATGGAACGTTCCGCACTTCGCGCATACCTCATACCCATTGAGCCGATAATGAGATGATCTTGACCCTGAGGAACTCCCGAATTCTGCTACCTGGATGCATATATACACAAACATGACTACAGTTTGCGTATAGCTGATCACAGCAAAAGCTCCATTAACCGTCAACATCCGACTGGATTGTGTCGAACTGCATGCATCGTGGAACACTTCCGCACGCGATACATCGACATCTCGATATCCGAATCTTGGATCAGCGGAAGAGGCCCTGCCAATTCTAGATGGCACTGGATTTCGGCAAGTTGTTCAGTAGCAGGTCTTGGTTTGAGAGTCTGGGCCCACGCCACGTGCTCGTAGCGCACAGCGGACCTCCCGCTAAGTGTCCGCCCAGGCCCCAAAACTTCACTACGTATCCAATCCGTCACAGCCACCTCCGTATTTCTATCATTGCAATGGCTATGCACGCGGGGTATAGGCTCGGCGTGACTGTCGACAACGTGTTGATATGCGCCAGCACGCTCTACCGGAGTGAACGCCGCCATACTGTCGGGCCCAGACAGCGCTATCGCGGATGTTATTCTGCTTGGGGCTCCTTGGTATTCGCACTGCTAACTGCTGTGGTAAGTCGTCTCCGGAGCTATGGGTTCAAGATTCCATACCAGTGTGAAATCGATAGGTCTTAGGCGAGATAGCTTAGAGAGCTTGTCAGAATTGGATGCAGACTGCTAAAGTTCTGAAGAGTCTGGGGTACGGTGGAGCCGACGCTGCAAGAATCTGGGGAAGGCGAGCCCATTAGTCTGGGGAAGCAGATGTGTATATGAAGTCGAGTATCCGGCAGCTGCAAGTAGGCTGTCCTTCATCCTTCTCAATCCGAAAGTCATCTCTCCCCCTTTTCTTTCTTCCGCCTTATTGACTCTCATCTCCCATTGAGGTCCATATCTAATCCCCTTTCCCGGGTCTCAGTGGACTGCAAGAGCCATCAACATCAAATATGGCCTCTTACGCCGAAGAGAAGGGCAACGTCGCCACCTTGGAACGCGTTGGGTCCGACACAACCGCCAGCGATGCCGCCATCACTCGCTTCACACCTGAGGAGCAGAAGAAGATTGTCCGCAAGGTTGATCTTCGGCTCATCCCTACACTCGGATGCATGTACTGTGTCTCTCTCATGGACAGAACCAATCTTGGTGTCGCCATGGTCGCAGGCATGGGTGTCGATCTGAAACTTACTGGCGAGCGATACAGCATCATCGTCTTGCTCTTCTTCATCACTTACGTTGCACTCCAGCCACCGGCTACGGTTGTGCTAAGGAAGTTGGGTCCGAGACTCTTCCTCCCCACTATCGTCATCATTTGGGGAGCAGTCATGATCGGCTTTGGTTTCGTAAAGGAATGGCACACACTGATTCCTCTTCGTCTCATTCTCGGTATCTTTGAAGCTGGTTTCTTCCCTGGTGAGTCTGACGATGCTTATTGTTTACCTTTGAAGTACTAACACAGTCAGGTTCCGCATACCTCCTATCATGCTGGTACAAGCGATTCGAGCTCCAGAAGCGCAACACCGTCTTCTTCCTCATCGGTATGCTGTCGTCTGCCTTCTCAGGTATCCTCGGCTACCTCTTCTCTCTGCTCAGCGGCCACGGCGTTCAAGCGGCATACTGGCTTGGCCCACACTACGGACCCACCAAGAAGGCACCCCTTACACCTGTCAGCTACGGACCAGGTCTCTCCGGATGGCGGTGGATTTTCATCCTCCAGGGAGTCATCACCGTTGTGATTGGCATCGTAGGATGGTACTTTATCGTCGACTTCCCTGAATTGGCTGCTAAACCCAGCAAGACCCAGAAGAAGTTCCTTAACCAAGATGAGGTCGACTTCATCGTTGCACGCATCGAAGAAGACCGCCACGACGTCATCGCCGAGGAGTTCAACCTTAAGAGCTACCTTTCTGGAGCCATGGATCTCAAGGTCTGGGGCTTCGCACTTATCTTCATGTTCACCACAACCATTACCTACGCTATCGCCTACTTTCTCCCCATCATCCTAAAGGACGGCATGGGTTTCAGTCCCGCTGCCGCTAACTGCCTTATCGCGCCTCCTTATGTCTTTGCCGGTTTCGTCATGCTTGCTTTCGCCTGGGCAGGAGACAAGTACCACATTCGCAGTCCATGGGTCATCGCCAACGGTGTCCTCGCTCTTATCGGTTTACCCATGATCGGGTTCAGCACCAACGTAGGCGTTCGATACTTCGGTAAATTCACTCCTCTTCCCCAATTCTTCTTGGGCACATCCACTAACATCTCTTCTCAGGTGTCTTCCTCGCCACCGCCGCTGCAAACGCAAACGTCCCTTGCATCCTCACCTGGCAAGCCAACAACATCCGTGGCCAATGGAAGCGCGCTCTCTGCAGTGCAACTCTCGTTGGCGCGGGAGGTATCGGCGGTATCATTGGTGGCACCGTCTTCAGGACCCAGGACGCACCGTCTTATGTACCGGGTATTGTTGCGTGCATGATTGCTTCGGGTATGATCATTATCATCTCGCTCTTGCTGAACTTGAAGTTCTGGATGGCCAACAAGAGGGCTGCGAACGGAGGCAAGATTATTGAAGGGCTTGAGGGTTTCAGGTATACCTTGTAGTTGGGTGCATACATGAGGCGATGAGATATGAGTAATGAACTGTTATATGCTTACTTCACCTCGCTTCCTTGATCTCCCGCTTCGCGATGACTTGTAGCGATAGCCGATAAACCTTGTGAGGAACCGTTACCCACGGATCCAGGTATCGCGATAAGGTTTGAGGGGACGCACGTGCGCTCCGAGGAAATGACGCGTTGAGACGTTTGACGCACTTGCAACACCACGATGGACCTCGCCTTTCTTTTCTCTAGGTCGAGACAACACCATGTCTGCCCCGCGGAGCAGTCCTCAACGTAAGATGCCCCTGAGCTAACAGAACTCTCCCCACGTTGTAACCCAATGTTCTGGGTCCTGGGTGAGTGATCCACAGAGACGTCACTTGGAAGCCTTGCCCATCCGCGCGCACACCACCGTGTCACGGCCACGGGTCGTCTGCGCAGTGTACTCGAAGGTATTCGGGCCTCTGTCTTCGGATCTCAGCCGCAGATACCAGATGAGGGTTGTGGATCTTATCGCGACGAAGCAGATCCTCTATCTTGACTACCATCCCGACAGCCACGATGAGACTCATTGGAGGAATAACTCTTTTCCCTCGTCCGGACGAGTGCAAGAGCGAGCTGAATATCCGCCAACCGCTCCTAGAATTATTATCGCATCTACCGAAAGCCAGGAATTGAGTTACCAAGCTTTTGACGCGCCACTTTTTCGCCGCTAATCGTAGAGCTTAGCCCACTTGGTCCCTGATCCGATGCCCAGAACACTGGATAGACCAACCCAACCCCAAAACACTAACTCCTCACGCTTATCTGGGAAACGCTGGATATTTTTGCGATGGCCTCGTGGGCTGATATGGGTACTTGGATGCTTCTCCAGAAAGATTTTCATATCCATGACACCCTGGTTCTTAGAGCTCCAGACTGCCCATGCTAGAGTGGATCGTACAGCACAACCCATCCACGCTAGGATGATACCTACACTATTGGCACCAATTCTGTCTGCTTTTGAGTATCGCCTCGGCTCATCTTTCGAGTCTTGCCTTCAACATCGTCTGATGTGCGGCCCTGTCAGCGCGGTGAAATTGGCCGAACCGTCACCGAACGCAAGCCATGTCGCGCTAGCACGCGTGGAAATTCGTCAAGCAACGGGCGACGCTTCTAAGATTATTCCTGAACGCCATGCAGGAACACGCTTAGCCTACCATAGTTTACATGGCATCCTGCATTCGTTCCTGCATTCTGTGCCCGTTAGCAGACGCCGCTCGAGTCTAAAGTCTTCGTTATCAATATTCATAATAGAAATAAGCTTTTATCCTCGGAATATCAACTGCGATGGCCGGTCAATCAACACGGCTTGCCACAGTAAGCAGCTCAAACTGCAGTAGCTATCGATTGTGGCTTTCTGCCCTGGTATCTTTGAAGAGACCCACCGGTTATCTACCCTGTCCGATGTACGACTCGGGCGACAAGCGTAGAAAACGGATTCACCGAAGTGTCAGAATGTAGACGGGATCTAGACCGCGTTGTCGTAGTATACCCAATTTGGAGCCAGTTCCGTGAATCCATGGTGATGATCTTGAGCTTAAGTATCGTTAACTACCATGCACTTCTGATCTCCATCGCTCGCTTCCTGTCTTCGTTGGTTGATCGTCATTCGCTATGCGTTCGTTCGCTGTTGCTGCCCTACTTGGGTTTGCGGCTGCTCAGAGTAGTGCGTCGAATGCCACTTTGAGTACTACGCGTCTTTCTTCTGCGTCTTCCACGCCCCTCACGACCAGTTCGGTTACTTTGTCAGGTCCCAAATCCGTCATCACTGTCGCCACCGATGGCTCAGGAGACTACACCGCTATCAACGCAGCCGTAAAGGCAGCCCAGGATAGCAGCATCGCCACAGTCTCGGTTCTGCCTGGTACCTACTCCGAGTCCGTCACTGTCCAGGGACAAGCCACCGTAACGATCGTCGGACCTACTCCCACAAATGTCGATGATTGGTCTGAGAACAAGGTCACGATCGCTGCTACCGACACTCCTTTCAAAGTCGGCACCGACAAGGCTAAGGGTGTCACTGTACGTAACATCAACATCGTCAACTCTGCCGCGGTATCTGCAGGAGCCAATGCAGTTGTTCTCTCCCTCAGGGGAAGCAACATTGCATTCTATGGATGCTCAATTATCTCACCGGGTGGCACCGCAATTTCAGCTAGCTACGGAACAGCCTTTTTCGCCAATTCATACATTGAGGGCTCGAATTATCTCTTCTACAACTACCCAACCATCTATCTCTACAAATCTACAATCGTTCCCCTCAGTTCGGGTGCCCTTATTGTATACAGCAAGGGTGGACAGCCTACTGGTGGCAACTTTGCCAACTCCACGGTTGTCTTCGATTCAAGCTCGATCCAGCAGAAGTCAGGATACGCCAACAACAATGTATGGCTAGCGGCACCCAACGCTGCTGGTGCTGTGGCAATCTACAGAAACACTGCTTTGGGAAGCCTGATTGCTCCTGCTGGTATTCACAGCACAGCAGCTACCATCTCATCTTTCTATGGAGAGTTTGCTACGACCGGTGCCGGATCTTACAGCAAGAATGCCGCTGCTCGTGCCAACTACGACGTTCTTCTCTCGGCCGATCAGGTCTCTCAGTTCACTGTCGACAAGGTCTTTGGCAATGCGTTCTACCCCTACGCTAGCTCTTCGCTGACATGGATTGATCAAGATGTTGTAGCATCCTTGAAAGCATCGAACGATGCTCAGCTTGCCTCCGCTTCGTCTGCTGCATCGACGGCTTCGTCTACAGTCTCTTCATCAGCTTCGTCGGCAGTTTCGTCGACGGCTTCGTTGTCCATCTCTGCCAGCTCCAGCCTCCTTTCGAACGCTACTACTACCGCTTCAATGACGTCTAGCGCAACCCCAGCAGCATCGACTTGCTCCATCACGGCAGCGTCCCCGACTCTCGTAGTCTCCAAGATGCCAGGCCCATGCGAGTTCGCGAATGTCACATCTGCCATCAGTGCTCTACCAAACGACGGCAACCCGTATACCATTAAGGTTGGCGCGGGTACATACGTTGAGCAACTCTCGATCACCCGCAAGGGAAAAGTCACCCTCCGGGGCTTCACCGACTTCACGAACGACTACACACAGAACAAGGTCCGCATCGAGTTTTCCCGTGGTGAACTTACCAGTGCTGGAAAGAACGAGCAGACACCCGTCGTCTTCTCCAAGCCCAGCGGCGATTCTGGAATGGCTCTGTACAATATTGACTTTGTCAACACGTACCCGCAGACTACCAACACCGCCGCACTAGCTGCAGACTTCTACGGTGCTAACATTGCTGCGTATGGCTGCTCGTTCGTCGGTTTCCAGGACACGCTACTTGCCAACAAGGGTACTCAAGTATTCAGCAACTGCTACATTGAGGGCAGTGTCGATTTCATCTGGGGTTTCTCTACCGCATACTTCCACCAGTGCATGATTGTCAGTAACACACCTGGTGCTTACGTCGCTGCACACTCTAGGGCTACTGCGGACGCCCCTGGCGGCTACGTATTTGATTCGTCTGTCATCACCTACAGTGCTACCTATGGCAACAACTTCGGGCTGTCCTACCTCGGCAGACCCTACAGCCAGTTCTCCGTCGCTGTCTACATGAACTCATACATTGACAAGCACATTTCAGATGCTGGCTGGGCTGTATGGCAAACAAACAACCCTCAAACTTCTGGAGTTACGTTTGGCGAATACAACAACACAGGTCCTGGCAGCTGGATGGAGACGACTCAGCGTGCGAGCTTTGCGACTAAGTTGACGGCGGCTCAAGCGGCAAAGTACGAGCTCGCTGCATGGATCGGCGGCACAGCATGGCTGGACATGGATGCGTACAATGCGGTCCCTTCGTACAGCCTTACAGGTCCTACAGCTACCTCGCCATCGCCTTCTCCATCGCCCTCGGCCAACGGTACCGTACCTGGACCAACAACTACTGCCACTGTCAATGCTCACCCTGACAGTGGCACGGTACCACCCATGGGTGCTGTGATTGTGTCCAAAGACGGCAGCAACAACGCTGCATACACAAACATCACTGCCGCACTTGCTTCGCTTCCCCAAGATAAGACCAACCAGACCATCTTCATATACCCAGGCACCTATAACGAGCAAATTCCGTCGGTCAACCGTCCTGGTGCCGTGAGGATCATTGGATACACCACTGGCAATCCTGGTCAAGCCTACAAAGACAATCAGGTCACCATCTCCTTTGCTCGTGGTCTCTCTGTATCCCCGCTGCCTGTTGGTCACTCAAATGCGGAGACTGCTGTATTTGCCACAGCGTCAAGCCGTATCAGCATGTACAACGTCAACATGATCAACACGGATAACCTCGATGGCTCCGAGCCTTCCTATGTCACTCTCGCAGGCTCGATCTACGGTAACGACATCGCCTTTTACGCTTGTTCGTTTGATGGCTGGCAGGACACCCTTCTCAACGGCGCTACTGCTGGTTATCAATACTACGAGTCATGCTACATCGGCGGTGCTATCGACTTCATCTGGGGCTACTCGAAGGCGTACTTCAAGGGATGCACTATTGGAGCCAAGCGCAAATCTTCGGCGATCACAGCACATAGCAGGAAGTCGAGCACCGAAATAGGTGGCTACATCTTTGACCAATGCTTATTCACTGCAGCTCCGAACGCAGTCGATGACCTCACGAACAAGGTCTACCTTGGCCGCCCTTACTCCGCGTACGCGCTTGTTGTTGTCAAGAACTCCTACATCGATGCTACCATTATTCCTGCCGCATGGAAGATCTGGTCTGCAACCGACCCACGTACCGATCACATCACCTTCGCCGAGTTCAACAACTCAGGTCCTTCAAACTGGGAGCAAAACGTCGCAGCTCGTGAGTCTTTTGGCTACGCCACGCTGCTCACTTCGGATACCTACTCCTTGTCATCCGTGATGGATTCAACCGAATGGATTGACATGACCTATTTCAACTCGATTGTCACCCCGCAGCCTTCCGTGCCCGTGATCATTCCTCCGGGACCCATCAGTGTCAACGGCACCTCGGTTTTCAATGGCACGACTCCACCCGCTGATGCGCTTATCGTTTCCAAGACGCCTATTGATGGTGTTGTTACCTACGACACTATTCAGGGTGCTCTCAACGCGGCGCCAACCACGAGCAAGACTAATGCTACGATCTTCATATACCCTGGTGTTTATGAGGAGCAGCTGATCATCGCAAAGTCTGGTCACACCATCTTCCGCGGATACTCCGATGCGACCGATGACTACTCCAAGAACCAGGTTACGATTCAGTTTAGCCGCGGTATCTCTACACAAGGTACTGGCGGTAGCAACACTGACGGAGCGACCGTCTACGCCAAGGGCAACTACTTCCATGGTTTCAACATCAACTTCCGTAACAACAACGGCACGCAACAGGACATCGCCTCGCTGGGCTTTGCTGTCCAAAGCAGCAAGTTTGCCGCGCTTTATGGATGCCAGATCTATGGTAACCAAGACACTCTCAGCGTCTCAGGCAACCTCTTCACCTTCAAGACGTACATTGAGGGTAATGTCGACTTCATTTATGGTTCTGGATCCGCCTACTTCCTGGACTCAACCATCGCCTCCAACGAGGACGGTATCAGCATCACGGCCCACAAGCGTACCACCAACACGACTGCTGCTGGTTTTGTGTTCGATCAATCGAAGATTGTACCGGCTCCCGGGTCTGGATCTTTCAGCAGCGTCAGCCTTGGTCGCCCGTGGAACAGCTTTTCGCGCGTTGCTTACGTCGCCTGCTACTTTGACGCCATGATCAGCCCTGCTGGATGGTCGCAGTGGAGCAAGAGCAGCCCTCAGACAGACGGTGTGACGTACGGTGAGTACCATAACAGTGGTCCAGGTTCTGGCATTTGCAAGCGTGCTCCGTTCTCGCAGCAGCTTTCAGATACCGATGTCGCTCAGTTCCAGCTTGCTTCTTTCTTCGCTTCGACTTCGTTCATTGACTTCCGATACGTCGATACCCAGCCTTTCACAGTCGGAATAGGCTCGCCACAAGTTTGCAGCACTGCTTCTTCGTCTCTCGTCTCGTCTTCCACCGTGTCCTCCAGTGCCTCGCTGTCTACTATCAGCCTTACTTCTTCGAGCAGCCTACCGGTTGTCACCGCTTACACCACGACTACAGTGATCGCCAAACTCACTGCAAGCGCGGTTGTTACCGCCTCTGAGGTAACTTCGACTACTGTCGTAAAGAGCACAGAAACCCTTTCAATCAGTGCTATCGATATGCTTAAGACCAGCACATTGAAGGTGACTGCCACCACTTCTATCGTGTCTCCTGACGTTACCTCTACTTCCACATCAGTAGTGACCGAGAATGTTGGCCTCACAGTCACCCCGGAGCCTGTCACGAAGACCAGCCTCGTCAAGGGTACAGTGACCGAAGCTGGAGTAACGACCAAGGGAGCCACAACTTCAACAGTCAAGGGTACCACGACTGTCACTGTCCTGTACACATCCTCGCCCAAGCCGACGTCAGTCACTATCAGCGAAGGATCCACGGTCTTTATCACAAGCTCCAAGACCCAGAAGGCGGCTTCCACGACCATCAAAACTACCGTCTCTATCGTGCCGAGCACTACCAAGACAACTACTGTGCGGCCCAAGAGCTCAGTTACTGTTAGCAGCACCTCCATCAAGACAACTACCAAGAAGTCGACTACCACTCTGTCTTGCATTCCTACTGGCAGCGCTCAAAACTTGGTCCGCCGAGGTGCCGTTATCCCTCGCGCCGTAGCTAGTACCACTACGCTCACCATTAGCACTACTGTGAGCAGCTACGTAGCTACGGCTACTGCAACTCAAGCAGGCTCAACCGCCTTGGTCACCGTATCTTCCATCGCCACTAAGACGACCTCTCTGAAGGCCAGCACCAGCACAATCACGGTTACATCCGTGGTGAAGACATCGACGATTGCGCAAGCAGGTTCAACCTACTACACAACCGTCCTGTCAACCGAAAAGGTCGGCAAGACCACAACCCTTAAGGCTTCCACCAACACCCTCTACTCCACTGAGCTCGTCACGAAGACCGTTCTTTCTACTGTAACCGCGCCAGCAGTCACCGTCAGCTCCCTTAAGACTGCTTCGAAGACCTCGACCATCCTCGCGGCGCAAGAAACAGTATACGTTACCAAGTCGAGTGATGTGACTTCCAGGACCACAACCACACTTCCAGTTTCCACGAGCACGAAGTTCGAGACGGTCACATTGGGTGGAGGTGTGAAGACGGAAACTCTAACTGGGGCGCCCAAGACGAAGACGGTTGTTGTGAAGAGCACCGCGACAGTTCTTAGTTGGGCAACGAAGACGGCGAAGGGTGCAGCGGCTTGCACGGCTTCGTAGATCAGACTGATGAGTGAGGAGTTTAATTCTTGTACATATCGAGTGTTTAATGCTTAATGAAGAGATGCTTGAGTTTGAGACGTGGTTCCATCTGGGATTTGTCGTGATGAGTAACCTGACCTTGTGGTTGGACGAACTAGGCTAGTGCAAGCGAGCGGCTTCGGGAGCGTCAGCCTCGTGCAGGCCCACGCTAGACGTGCGTCATGGCACCAAAACTCGTCGGAAGCGTCTCCTGCGATGGCGCGCGGGATAGCGGGGGCCCAGCTCAACAGCTATCGATTTTACGCTTGTGCCCCTCGTTTGCGCACCCGCTCCCTTGCGCTATCACACTCTACACTTGAGCTCTTCCTCATAGCACTCGGCGCTTTTTTTTGGACGTGTACACCGCTTACTGAACAACGTCGCGAGCCATTGGCAGACAACACAGCGGGGTTGCGTTACTACACTATCTCGGTAAGCCGCTGTCCCCCATACTACTTCCAAAAGCAACCTGGGCTGGTGGAGAAGCAAATATCGTATACAAAAGTGGGATTGACCGCTGTGCATGACCATTGAGCTGTTTTTATGTGGTCTAGCCAGCCCACAAGGCTTCTTGGTCATTCAGAGGCTAACAATCTACGTCAGGGTCCCCACCTCTCATCCTGAACCCTCGTTCTCAGAGACACCGCTGCCTCTTTCGCGATAACACCAATTCTACCTAAACCACACTCACAACCGCAATCATGGTCCTACTAGGCGCAAGGAAACCACCCTCCCGCAGGGGTATGCTCGAATCTTGTCATCACATACAAGGACAGATGGGATAACATCGTGCTAGGCTCCATGGCGGACATGCCCAAGGATCTGAAGGAGCAGATCGACAAGTTGGAAGATATGTTTGTTGTTCCCACCGACAAGCTGAAGCAAATCTCGGATCACTTCGTTGGAGAGCTCGAGAAGGGCTTATCGGAAAAGGGCGGAAGCATTGTGAGTCGGCGCTTGCTTTGCGCTCTTACAGGAAAGAGCTGACCATGATAGCCCATGATTCCCACCTGGTGTATGGCCTTTCCCGATGGCAACGAAACCGGCAGCTACCTCGCGCTCGACATGGGTGGTACCAATCTGCGTGTCTGCGAGGTTACTTTGACGGAAGAGAAGGGCGAGTTCGAGATTATCCAATCCAAGTACCGCATGCCAGAAGAGTTGAAGACCGGTACTGCTGAGGAGCTTTGGGGCTACGTTGCCGACTGTCTCCAGCAATTCATCGAATACCACCACGAAAATGAGGAGCTCGACCACCTGCCACTCGGTTTCACCTTCTCGTACCCCGTCTCGCAAGACGCCATCGACCACGGAGTTCTTCAGCGATGGACAAAGGGCTTCGATGTAGCCGGTATGGAGGGTGTAGATGTTGTACCAGGTTTCAAGGCGGCTCTCGAAGAGCGTGGTGTACCCATCAAGCTTGCGGCTCTAGTCAACGACACGACTGGTACTATGATTGCTTCCGCGTATACCAACACCAGCATCAAGATCGGTTGCATCTTCGGTACCGGCTGCAACGCCGCCTATATGGAGGAGTGTGGCGCCATCCCCAAGCTGAAGCACATGAACCTTGACCCCAAGCTGCCAATGGCTATCAACTGCGAGTGGGGCGCGTTCGACAACGAACACCAGGTCCTCCCAAGGACAAAGTACGATGTCATTATTGACAAGGAGTCACCACGCCCTGGTCAGCAATCTTTCGAGAAGATGGTCGCTGGTCTGTACCTTGGCGAGATCTTCCGTCTAGTCCTTCAGGACCTACACAAGGGTAACGAATGCCACATGTTCGAGGGCCAGAACACCAGCAAGCTCGACAAGCCCTACTCGCTTGACGCAGGTTTCCTGTCTCAAATTGAGGAGGACCGATTCGAGAACTTGCAAGATACACACGATCTGTTCCAGGAGAAGCTCGGCCTCGATTGCTCCAAGCCTGAACTCGAGCTCATCCGCCGCCTCGCTGAACTCATCGGTACGCGCGCTGCCCGTCTTACCGCATGCGGTGTCTCCGCCATCTGCAAGCACAAGAAGTGGGACGAAGTTCACGTCGGTGCCGATGGCTCCGTCTTCACAAAGTACCCACACTTCAAGGTCCGCCAAGCTCAGGCACTCAAGGAGATCATGGGCTGGCCGAACAAGTATGGCAAGGGCAAGGGCGACCCCATCGAGGTGCTTCCCGCTGAGGACGGCTCTGGTGTCGGTGCCGCCCTGATTGCTGCGCTTACTGTTAAGCGCGTGCAGCAGGGTCAGCTGGCTGGTATTAGGGATGCGGAGACTCTTCTGTCCATGGTCCCGAAGAAGTGATTGAACCCTGATAACAAGGATAATTAGATATCACGCTTGACGTACGATTGAACGATAGAATGTATATATGAATGTTCTTCATCCAACGAAACATCTATCTTGGGGAAAGTGAAGTGAACGATGCCTTTCAACCTAGTGGTAACGCCTAGGGACCTTCGTAGTAGTTGATCCTTCAAACGTCCCTGCGATGTTGTAGCGAGGCAGATGATGGGTCGGATTGCCTCAAGGTCTCATATAAGCATGCATACTGTCGAAGCAAAAGGTAGACATTCTCTGTCGCCCTCGACGACCCAAGCACGTCGTTGATGCTTCACAAGAGTACATAAAAAAAGCAAAAACATACAACAGCGGGGATTCGCTAGTGGTCACCCACCTAACTACTAATCCGCCGGTACACTGCTTGTATATGGCTGAGCGGACGGGAAGCCTAATTTTCAGTGTCCTATGGTCGTATGTATTTGCTAGCAAATGTCTTTCTACTATATTGTCAAATTCTCCATAGCAGCTTTGGCAGCAGGTTCAGGGTCCCAACACTTATGGACTCGTAGATGGTGCCGTAGTGAGAATTCGGTTGTCTTATATTCGCTATGCTCCATAAATACTGTCTCAGGATAGACAGATCTAGTTCGTTGCGTTAGGCGCCAAGATTGAATCAACGACCCTGTATATGAGCGGGGAAGGCTACACAAGGCCATGCTACGCGTAAATGAATACATTTCGTAGCCGTTTCACTGCATGTCACCCTTCATCTTAGTGGCGTGCATACCTAAAGCGCACTCATCGCCAGAAACTCAACCGTGCCAACATCTACCAGAAGTACGTCCATTTTACAACAATCCACAACCCACCCACGTCGCTACTACTTAACTACAGGTATGAAGACATTGAAGCGCACCATGCTGGAATACTGAAGAATTCCTCTTGTGAAGACTATACGCTAGGCGCTCAACTGGTCTAATACGTAGGGTGGCAGTCATTGGGTTTTCCCTGTATTGACGGCGGTGATCAAGTGTGACCATTGGCTTACCACGTGCATCACGCGCCACTCCGGCTGAACGTTAGCGCGACGCCTCATGTAGGCGGGAGTGCTGAGCACTTGCCCGATTTCTTAAGACCCCGAATCGCAGCCTGACACCTGCAATTCCATTTCTCATCATTTTAGAGCAGCCGTCATGGAGGCCATTGCAGGACTCAGCCTTGCTGCCAACATCCTGCAGCTCGTGGACTTCACCGCGAAAGTCTTGTCGACTGGAAACCAAATTCGCATGTCAGGCTCCACCGCACAGAACTCCGAGTTAGAATTGGTAGCTCGCGACTTCACAGCGCTGAATGAACGTATCACATTATGGGCTCGTCCTAATCCGGCCAGTTCGGACCCATTGGCAAAGGACAGCCAGGTACGTGGAGTCCTAGTTTGGGTATACGCACCCGCGACAATTTTTTTACAAGTTTGTAGGCACTCAAGAATCTGGCTGCAGAGTGCACGAGCATTGCCCAAGAACTTGTTGCTGTACTTGAGTCGTTGCGATGTTCCGGAGGTGCGGCCAGATACAAAACGATTCTCAGCGCCCTTCGAACAGCTTGGAGCGCGAAAAAGATTGAGGATACCAAGTCTCGACTTTAGACAGTGCGTGATGAGCTTCAATTTAGGATTCTGATCTCCATCAGGGAAGACCAAATGCAAGGTCTTGATGAACCGAGTCGGAAGGCGATACAGAGTGTGGTGGAAAGCAACAAAGAGCTGTTCATGACAATAACTTCACAAACCGAGAATATCATGAAACGACAAGTTGCCGACAGCTCGTTGGCAACGATGCGTCATAATGTGGTCTTACATGCCATAACCAACCAAAACATAGAGAAGTACAGTATACAGGATATCACACGCAAGATCATGAATCTTCTGTATTTTAATCGGAAGGACGACAGATACGATGACATCGCTATTGCTCATCAAAACACATTCAATTGGGCACTGGAGGGCCATGCGAAAGATTCCAGAAGCTGGCCAAGCCTCGTAGACTGGCTTCGGCAGGATGGTGATGTGTATTGGATTAGCGGAAAGGCCGGGTCTGGGAAATCCACATTGATGAAGTGTCTATACAAAGATCCCCGGTTTATGGAGTCGCTGAAACTCTGGGCTGGAAGTGATCGTCTCATCGTTGCGGACTTCTACTTCTGGAATTCAGGTGTCGAAATTCAAAAATCACAGGAAGGCCTCTTTCGCTCACTGCTCTGGCAGGTGCTCAATCAGGACATCTCTCTGGCATCTACACTGTTTGCGGAGCAGTATCTACTCCACGCCGAATGGAACGAGTTTCCCACGTTTCACCAACTTCGCCGAGCATTTGGAAGGCTCACGAGCCATTGTCCTACCTCGACGAAGATCGCAATAGTAATCGATGGTTTGGACGAATTCGATGATCGACGAATTACAATAACAGAGCTTGGAGAGATGTTAAAGACTGCCACTAAAGGTGGCAGTGTCAAAGCCCTTTTGTCAAGCAGGCCTATTACTGCATTCGAGGATTGTTTCGCTGGTAAGCCACAGCTCCGGCTCCATCAGCTCACTTATGACGATATCACAACGTATGTGTATGACCTGTTGTCCGTACATCCTCAAATGGTCTACCTGAAAACTACTTATAACAACGAAACCAAAGCACTTGTGGAAGAGGTTGTCAGCTCAGCCTCGGGGGTTTTCTTATGGGTCACGCTTGTAGTGAAGTCACTTATCGAAGGGCTGCAAGATGGGGATAAGATCGAAGATCTTCAGTTACGACTGCGGGCTTTACCGAAGGATCTTGAAGCGCTTTTCACCCTAATGCTACGTAACGTGCCTACCTTGTACAAGTCACAAGCGTCACGCATATTTCAAATCCTCCGATGCAACAACGAAGGCCACCAGCAGATGTATGATGTTGGGAGCGGGAAGGAAAGGCCGTTATCCGCCGTCAGACTGTCCTATGCAGAAGCTAAGATCGACGAGGTCATAGGCGCTGACATTTCTCCCTTGTCAAATGGAGAACTTGAACAAATAGAGAGCACCATAGAACGTCGAATTCGAAGCCGTTGCGCAGGTCTCTTGGAACTTCGGACGCGAAGCAAGTCCCAGCAAGATGAAACAAGTCAGGTCGATCAAAGGGATACGAAGGAAGTTGTGTATCTTCACAGGACTGTCACTGATTTCCTGTACGAAGAAAGGGTCTGGGCCGAATTGATGAGTCACGCAGAGGGACTGAAGTTTCATGCACCCCTAGCTGTGCTACAATCATTGGTCATGGAAGTCAAAACGGTCAATCTGGGACGGCAGCCACCGGCTGATGGGATTCCCTGGCGACTTGTGTCTGACGCTCTGCTATTTGGGCGACTTACGGAAGCGACCGCTCAGACGAGCTCTCAGAAACTCTTCGATGAGCTTGACAGAGCAATGACGACTTACTTCCCAGACGTTACAGGACACTGGAAAGGAGGAGAATACAAAGAAGCAACTTGGTGCGATACATATGTAGAGGACTACATCAGGCCCGCACCCTGGCATGATAATTTCATGTCCTTGACCGTCAGATTTGGGTTGACGTTGTACGTTCGAGATACTATCCGTAAAAAAGGTCGAGATTGTTTGAACAAACGTGGTAGACCGCTGCTCGACTACGCCTGCAGACCTGAGCCGAGATACGAAAAGTGGTCAGCTTTCAATGATCCCAACCTCGTAGAGACTCTGTTACTGAACGGTGCTGATCCGAATCTCAAGTTCAATGGGTTCAGTGCCTGGCAAAATTGTCTGTATACAGAGACTGACAACCCCGTCAAATGGATATCTCTACTGAAACTCTTACTTCTTCATGGGGCGGATGCCAACGCATGTATTGAGACGCGAAATGAAGGTCAGAAATCTGCATTAAATGTCATCAAGGAGTGCTTCGATGAGTTCATAGCTGGGGATGCTCAAGCTACTGAAGGAATCATAATGCGCTTCACGTCTCGTTATGAAGAGGCTGTAACTGAAACCGTATCGGCGGAAACACTGGCTCAGCTTAAGCTGGACATCGTTGAGTTGAAGGAATTGCTCATCGAGCGAGGTACTAGTGGCGTTCACGGCAAGGTCGAAAACATGAGGTGGAGGCTCTTTGGTAAACGAGTAACGCTACCTGTAAGACGTTTCCTTGGGAGAGGCCACAAGTAATGTCTTAGGCTGCGCATAGAGGGGCAGTGCTAATTGGGTGATTATGCTACAAATAGTGGGGAAATTTCTATTATGCCTAAGAATAGTATCAACATGCATGTGAAGCTAGACGTTTAATTACGCTTCAAAAGAGGATATCATTCTTGTAAGCCTGCGTTGCGAAGAAGGAAATACAGAGGCTTAAGACCGTGAGTTTGAGTCAGGGATTAAATCTCTGTAAACTAAATCACCTCTATCGATAGTCAGATCGGTAGGCTAGATAAAGGCAAACTACGCAGTTAGATGCAGCCAACAAAGTCGTTGCGGCATCGCACGCGACAGAGTCCACACGATGGGTCTGGTTGCTTTGTGCACCATCCCTCGGCCGGACCCGTGAAATGAGAGGCAATGCACCAAAAATATGCGATAGACGTCTTTGAGGGGAGCAGGCGGCAAGCGCTAAGAAGGGAATGATATGACAGCGGAGTCGCGGGAGCGAGAAAAACCACCATGGTAATGATGTACTTGACATCATGGCATTGTCAGTAGTCAGCATGTAGTAAAGCAAATAGATCAGAAATCTGTCTGCAGGTTGGTGTCCTTGCGACGAATAGACAAGGGCGAGCAAATAAATGTAAACAGGGCTTAGCTTATCAAAAGGCGTGGTTTTTGAAAGGGGAAGGCGCACGACGACGATCTTCTGGTAACGGTACCACGACAGATGGCAGGCCACGCAGGAGAGCTAATGTCAAGTCCCTATGGTCGTGTGTGAAAGAAAATGAACAGTATGTATCTTGTAAATCTGAACGCTGGCCCCTAACGAGAAAAACGAATGAGATGCCGGCAGAACACTTACCAATAATGGCCAAAGAATAGCATGGCAAATAAACGCGCGAGGAAACGCCGAAAAATCATAAGGAACATCAGAATCTCCCTCATTTTAGCATCTTGCAAATACTCAAGCATATTGTTTCACCTGCTCCTCACTCCACTCTCAAAATACACTCGCAGTCTTCTTACTAGCCTCGAAATAATAGTCCTTCCTCAATTGCATTACCCTCCCAAGAGGTACAGCCCACTCGCCCGTGTTAAGACCTGCAACACCGGGCGCGAGACTAGCGAATAACTCCGTGTATGCGCCATTGACAGGCCGATGCAAGATAATTTTCATGATGAGAAATCCGAATGCAGGCATATGGCGTTTTAGATCAGACTTGAGGTTACCCGGATTAAGCGTCTATCGTACCGCCATGTCAGCAAAGCCAGGAAGAGAGGGAGGCGAAAGAATGGGAGAGAGACTTACCACACTAACAATCCCATGCTCCGTGTACCGTCTCTGGAACTCCATTGCGTGAAACACATTCCCCGCTTTACTAATCCCATACTTGGCCATCTGATTGACATCCTTTTTCTTATAATCCAAGTTGTTCATGTCGACACCTCCCGCCGGCGCGTTGAGCTGTGCAGCTAAGGAACTCACCCAAACTACTCTCACACTGCCCTTGGGCTCCTTCTTCGCTGTCTCGAGCATTATGGGGGTCAATAGCTTAGTGAAGAGAAACGGCGCGACACAGTTCGTTCCGAGTTGCAGTTCGTATCCTTGTTTCGTTGTTGTGCCCTTTGGTGGCGTCATGACACCTGCGTTGTTGAAGAGGATATCTAGACGAGTTTCTCGAGCGAGGAAACTCTCTGCGGATGCTTTGATGCCGTGTAGGTCGTCAAGGTCGAGATGAAGGTATTGCAACGTGCCCTTGGATTCAGGATGGGCTTCTTTGATCCATGATATTGCTGCAGAGGCTTTTTCGGAGGAACGGGCTGCGATATAGACTCTGCCGTTGTGCGAGTAGAGGAGGCGGGCGAGTTCTTTGCCTATGCCGGCTGAGGCGCCTGTTACAACGTAGACTTTTCCGTGGAGGTCGGGTAGGGATGGCTCGGTGAATTTGGGAGCTGGTGGGAATATTTGGCTGAATTGGGAGCCCATCTTGAATCTCGTGGTTGATAATGAGGGTGGAGGTGGATATGGTATGGACGCAGATGAAATAAGTTTAGGTAACGGAAAGGAGCTTGGAGATAGTGTAGTAGCGTAGTGAAATAGTTGATGAGAACTTGAGGATTGTTGTGGCAATCACTGGCGAGATTGCGAGAGATATATATCTTCTCATGTTACCTAGATATGCTCTTGGAGCATGCTTCATACGAGCAATGTCGGTGCTTCGATTGGCCCGCCGCACAACGGACGGCCCCAGTGTAAGAACAACACCATTGCTGATTGGGAATTCAAGCGACAGTCAGCCTGTAAGATACCAGTTCTTCCATGTGAAAGCTGCGCCACGATGTTGCACACCCCTTCAGGCAGCTGTTCCGATGCGTTATGGTCGGACTTAGGACGAGATGCGCGGCAGGACGGTGCTGGGGTCGCGGAGTTAGCATACTTCTCAATAGCAACTCGTGAAGACAGGACAACCCAACCAACGAACTCATGCGAGCACTTTGAATCGGACCGGAAGATCGAACTGATGGAGGGAATGTGTGGAGTGTCACTGTCGCTGATGAAATGAATCTTATCAATGCGACACTAGGTTAGGTAAGGCGGTCCGATTCGTTCACTCCGCCGCTAGGTGAGTAATGCGCCTTACAGTAACGGAGAATGTAACCAGATGCAGAGTAGTCAGTGTTTTTCAAATACTCAGGGGATGTAGAACTTGGAGCCAGAGTCGAGAAGCTTTGTCATATAAAGGAAGTCGTTCTATTCTAAGTTTGTGCCCTAGCAGCATGTCGTTTAACCCGCACATGTTCTTCGATCGCCGTCCACATCCCTTCCTTGTAAAGACACTTAAACTCGGCAGCAAGCCCAACAAGCCTACATATGTCAGCTTAGTGCTTGAAACTATCAATACAATCCTGAAAATTGAGCGAAACTTACTCCGAGTTGCACAGGTTCCTACCACAGGTTAGCAAACAATCGATCTTTTGTCAAAGCTTGGCCAACATACCCATCCGTCACCACAATTGGTAGGCGCTTCTGGAGCGCAAATGCGCGTGCAGATCCTGGCCCCAGGGGTCGCAAGTACCGTTGGTGGTGCTTGTGTTGGGCGAGTTCGAGTTGGCCCTGCAAATGCGAGGGTGGCCAAGAGCGTGATTGCGATGAAGGTCTTCATACCGATGATACTGACTGGATGTATTGCGTTTGTAAGAGTGGGACAAGATGTGATGTTTTAACAAAGAAATAACAAGGACGCTTGGAGGGATATATATACACTCGCTACCTTGAAGACATCTAACACCCCAACGAACGCGGCTTCCTAGAGTAGAAGTGTCTGAAAGAACTCGCTCTAGATCCGTACGATACGCAGTACGTCAATTTCTCAGCTTATGGCTGATATGCGAACACTCCCCGAGAACCAACACAGACAAGGTAAATGCGACAAACAAACTAAAAAAGCCACACAGTGAGTACTTCGTAAGTGGCAAGCCACATAGCTAACATTATGAGGACAAGGGTTCGTGGATACAGCAAAAGTCAAGGTAATATACCATGGTATTGATCCAGACCGCATTTCTCACGCCACACTGCCATTCCTATCCTGAACGACTCATGTCGCACGAGTAGCTCAATAAGTAAGCATCATGTCTTCAGCTTCAGATCGCTCTCCATTTGCTCTTCAGTCTTATCAAATGACACCCCATAATTTCCGTAGCTTTATCCGAACGCCTTCTATACTTCGCAGCAGAACCAACATTCCTGCAAATATTAACTTGAATACTAGTCTTACAGTCTATACGACGAGAAAGCGGGAAGTACCCACGCCGGAGTTCACGGATTCCTAAGACATATTAGCACATATTCATCTTAGATTGGAAAGCCAATAACATACCCAGCCTTCGCCACACTCTGTTGCTTCTAAGAAACAAGGGCGCGTGCAAGCCTTGGTCTGAGGAGACGCGGCCGGTGTAGCTGCTACGAGTGAGGCAAGAAGAATGATGATGGTGATGGAAGACTTCATGTTGGTGGCGATGGCTTATTGTTATGTATGTGAAGTAGAAGAGTGTGTGATTAGTGTTGAGTGTAAGACTGGAAAAGGGCGAGGATGGTGAAATATATACTTTTACCACCGGATCGCGACTGCTGGCAACCTTGGAACCCACCCGGAAACTGCGGACAGCAAATTCTCAGTATTTACACGTCGAATGTGGATTTCACTACTACGACTGACATGCAAACCACTCAGATCCAATGTATACACAGCGAACACGTACTTACGAGACAAAAACGCCACCACCTTTCGTTCGCCTGCTGAGAATCCACGGATCTGAGACACGAAAGTGGGAAATGAACAAACAATGTAAGAAGGGCGGCGAACGGCTGCGGTGGTCAAAGCGAGACACCTTCCAAGCATTTCAGACAATGTTAGTGTCATTCGTAATGAAGCATAAACAGTCTTGGCTAATATACCGCCCGTCCTGCTTACCCGGTTGCGGGGAGACTGGCCCCCGCATTTTGCAAACTCTCCTGGTTGAGCTCACAACTATGAGGGCATGTTCAATCAAGAGGAAAGTGATGGGCAGGGTGGCATTCGTAATAGATAGTACGAAGTGTAAACGTGAGGAAAACGAAAGAGCATTGAGAAGGCACATGCACCGACTAAATGTACGGCAGGGATCGGCCCGTATAGATTGGCAAAGTTAGATTTCTTACACTTCCATACGCTTGTCAGTGGAGGAAACTCCGAGAGCTGAGAAGAGATGAGCGTAAGCACCGGCTTGGCTTTGCGTATTACTGTGCCACGCAAAACTTCGTACTATAACACTACATTAGCCTATTTTTATCTATTTATCTTAAAAGAATAATCTAGCTTACCTTGTCCTAAGATCATGTTTTACAAGAAGACAGACGGCTCAGAAGATGGCAACAGCATTCGGCGGACTTGCAACACCACCAGGTACCTACAAGAGGATCAGCTCTTGTTTTAGTCACAGCACTTGGTAAGACATACCTTCAATGGAACACTACTAACAAAGCAGGTGCTCCGTCCCAATTCTTCACTCTTATCACACAATCGCTCCAAGTCAAACATCTCACCTATCATGACACCCCAGCCAGCCAACAACCACTGGTGTATTAATCCACCGCCCTGCATCTCTTTTTCCCATGATTCGCCGGCCCAGAGGCCGCCTGGAGCGTTGTGTGGACCTACTAGTGGTGCCATTTCAAAAGATGGAGCGTCGGATGCTGTAGGGTAGTTAGCTCAAGATCGATCATGGTTGGAGAGGTTCAAGAAAGATGAACCAGAAGTTTTGAGGAAGTGGCAATGAGGACGAGATAGGATAGCGTGAAATGAGGTGAGCATCCTTACCAACAGCGGCAAACCCACTTTCCCAAATCCACTGCAGCGTATGCTTATCCGACTGCACACCCAAGTACGCCGGCGGCTTATCCTTCATAGTTCTCCTCTCTTCCTCACTCAACTTGGTGTAATCGCGAGTGAAACCCGTTCGTAATAGTAAAAGATCACCTTCCCTTGTCTTGATACCCGTTTCTTGCAGCATATCTTTCAACTCTTCTGCCGTGATACCGTTTGCTTCCAGCGCGTACACTGCTTCCTTGCCTTTCTTCTCTAGGTACCGCGGATAATCGAGGATGATGCCTCTAGTGGTGATCCCACCTGAGCTGGTCACGCGATCGATGCCGATGATTTCCGAAGATTCGATGTCTTGCTGTGAGCGTCCGCCGTAGTATCTCTTTGCGCTTTGGTATCCGTAGTGTCTGAAGCCGTCCCATTGGCTACTTCCTTGCGTATTGAAATCTAGGTGGTCGTCGTTGACTGTTCTCTTTGTGCCATCTGGATGTGCTTTATTCATCATTTTCCAGGAGAACGATGGTCGGTTAAATGAGGGATGAGAAGGTAAGTTAAGATACCAGTCTAGTGAGACACGGTCACCAGTCTGTATTTCTTGGGCTGCTGCTTTGACGGCAGACGGCGTGATCATGTTTAGAGCACCAAGTTCGTCGTTCGCGCCATAGAGGCCCCATGCGTTTCCTGGTGGGCCATTCTTGTCAAGTGGGAGGTCCTGGAAAGGAGGGCGAGATGGTGGTGACATGATAGTGTTTCGTATAGCTGGTATGTCTCAGTTACATGGTGAACTTGCAGGTCTCAGATCTGTTTACTGTGCGTCGTCTTCAAAGAAACGAGGGGTAAGAACGATTGTTCCGTCCCTCGGTACTTCGTTCAAATGTACGGCGAAGGTTATGTGTCGTATGGTGGGGTCAATCGCGGGGTAGTTATCGCTGGCTCGGTAATTGCTGTGGTACGGAAATAGCGAACGCTGCTCAGACAAGCATTCAGCTTCGTTGCTAACATGCTGAACATCCTGTGCATCGCAATTCAACTCCGGGCTAGGGAAGTACCCCTCATGTCTCACTATCATAAGAGTTGACTTTCGAGTTTGGACGCTGTCGACATGCTTTGACATTACGATACCTAGAGCGCTACAGCAGTGAGCTCAAAAATCGGGTCCCATTCCTACACCACTCCCTCTTGAGCTTGTATTCTTCAAGTGCGCACCGCTGCCTTTAAACAGACTTTGCCAGATGAAGGCTTCGCTTAGCAACAACTCAATGTCTTTCTCGGTCCATTGCCGTGTTGGTAATGATTGTAGAAACATCATCGTCTCCTGGAAATCCATTTTTCGCAGCTGATCGGACCACTTGACGAGGAACGCAGCACATACGTAGAGGTGAAAGGACGAGAACCCATCTTCTTCGGCCTAGGGAAAGTTAGCAGTGCACTTGGGATGGATTGCTGTGTGACTTACCAGATATGTATCCCACATCCGTATCGTGTTCTTGACTGAAATCTCGCGCATCAGAAGACAGTTCATCCATCGAAAGCTGAACTGTATGAACTCTACACCCTCGTTTTGAAGATGCTTCGCCAGCTGATCATCGATACGGGTGGTAAGATCCCTTAGACTTGCCACTTGTCTTTGAATACCTGGTTGATGTGCGATGTAGTTGTCTTGAATGCCATCAAGCAGTTTGGTAAGACACCAAAAGGAGTCTGCCTCAACTGCATCCAAAACCTGTTTGGGTAATTGTCCAGGATCCATACCGAATTCAATGTCGGGATCTGAGATATAGGCGCCTAGGAAGACCTGCCAGAAGGGGGTAACCAGGTCATTGATGCCTTGTACGTAACCAGAAGCAGGATGCCGTATCGCCCACACGTATAATATTCGCTCGAGGGATCGTTGCGTAGCTTCGTAGCTGTAAAGCTCAAGATGTGGGTTCGTCCGAGGCACATCAATGCTGATCTGATGCCATATAGCTTCGTCCAGGCCACGTCCTCGCCCACGATTCGCTGAAGGATGGGCTGCGCCGCCTGCCACTCCGGAGGCGACAGCGCTAGCACTGCCAGATGTACCTCGTTCGAAAGCCTGCCGCACTCCCTCCAAGTATTCCTTCCGTTTGCGCTCGAGTGTCGCGACCCTTCTCTCGCTGCTAGTCGGTAGGTACCCCAACAAGACCTGCCATGTCATCGCGCGCACTTCGGACGGAACACCTGACCATGCCGAGTCTCGCAGGTCTGATAATGATATAGTACTTGCTTGTAGTATCCTCTTGAACTTGTTGATTCTCGTTATTCGTGCGGAATGTTCCTCGACCTGTTTCGCTGACGCGTTCGGGGGTGGAGTAGGATGTGAAATGAGATGTAGCGAGTTCGCGGGGTCTCGAAGGATCTCTTGATACTGTGGCCGTAGAATCTTTCCTTCGATTTTCTTCGCGGTTGGGTAGTTGGGTATACCTCGCTCTTCTGCAATATCACCACTGTCTATACCGCGCCACGCTGTTGAGCCCAGACTTTCTCTACTGACATGTCCGCTTGCTTCTTTTGCCTTGGATGGTTGTTTCCGCCGACCCTTCCTCCGCATGTTTGCGATGCTCGGCAGCCCGAACTCGTCTTCATCATCCTCAAACATGTTGTCGGCATCATCTTCGTCGCCATCGTTCCAGTCTTGGTGTGTGTCGTTGAGGAAGTAGCTGTAGGTCGCTCGCGCGGGACGGGGTGATATGGTCTTACTGGACCGGCTCGGTGCAGTGCTTGACTCGCGACTGTGGGTGGTCGATGGCGGGGTTCGAGGTCGCGGGTTTGACCCGGATACGCTCCTTTGGGCAATCAGCTGTAGAAACAATGACAGTGTTGAAAGCAACATACAACGAGCTGAAGTTGAGTATGTCAGCATGCGAATAGGATGCGCCAATGACCTTCTTGTTTTGCGGTGAGCTAGCGGAGTTGGACGTTGTGCGCCAGAACGGAGAGGCAGAGCTGCGCATGGGATATCAGTATTCGAAACATATATGCGACCAGAGTATAGTAACGTACGAGGACCGGTCTGTACGCAGGGAAGCGATATGTTAGCTACCCCGGATACTATGACGCTCTTTGCGATTTGGATGGACACGAACCGACCTGGACCATTTCCTAGCAGATTGTCAGCAAACAATATGATACGCGCAATATTGGGTAGACAAACCTGCTGCTGCTTCTTAGAGGCCATGTTTGAGTAAGTGAATGCTTGTCCTGTGTCTCGAGGTGGCCCCGCTGCGAACCCAAGCTTCAGATGGCTCGACCGGGCAAGTACGAAGGAACTCGTATCCTTTAGATTGTACTTAACACCTCAGTAGGCGCCAAAGGTATTCGTTCTCTTTTGAAGTGATATACTCTCAACAATATAGCCCTTGTATACAGTACGCATATACTTGGTATGTCGTAGGGCTCGTGCATGTATCCGTCGCGCCTGCCACGCCAAGCCCGATGCTAGCGCGCCTGCCCATTGCTCTGCTCTCATCTCCTCACTCCAAGCGTCAGGCTCTTCCTTCTATCACCTCCCTTCCTCCCCTACAACCCGACAATCGCGCTCCGCTAACTGTGCCCTCACTTTCGCGCGCGCCCAGACTTTCTTCACTTTTCTACTTTTTCTAACAAGCTCTTCTCCAAAACTACAACATGGCCGACGAGAACTACGAAGATGACATCTTCGACGATCTGTACGTCTTCTCGGCGCGATTCAGGCATATCCGCATCTTGCGACACTCTACTAACACTTTGATAGCTATGATGATGAGCCCACGTCGAAGCCCGCGGCAGCGGCACCCGCTCCAGCCCCCAAGACGGAACCTGAGCACACCCCAGTCGAGCCCGTGAGCGCGCCGCCTCAAGATACTACACAGGACAACGGTCAAGATGCCGCACCTTCTTGGCCAGCTCAAGGCGGGAGGGATCAGGACTCTCACATGGACCAATCTGGTTACAACGCTGGGGGCAACCAGTCGTACGACAATGCGCCCATGGAAGATGACAACTATGGCCCAATCAACGTGAAAGAAGACGGGTAAGTCGTGCAATGTCGAATTTGATCTTGATCTTTCAAAGGCGCATCACAAGGTATAAGAACATGTTTCTCGCACGTTATAGCATAAAACGAAAGTATATCGTTACCAGGACCAACGCCATCAACGGCCGCATAGGATATCGTGTTAGAGCATCAGACAACATGAGAGATACGAGCTATCTATGGCATATTTTGCGAGCACGATCAAGGGATGAGCTCTGGACACTTTGGTTTGTCGTTCATTCGAAAGCGCCTGGGGCCATGATTGGCACAGAGTCTGGGATAAAGGTCTAGGAGCTAGACACCTTGCGAAAGATTGTGGTCCATGTCGTCCATTGGTGAGGCGTTCAAAGCATGGCGGAGTGCGCGACCAGTTTTGGTTGTTGGAAGAAGCTGGAAGACACAAGTCAACCGCTCAGCGATACTCAGAGCAACCATCAACGCGCCTTACGCAGGGACTATCGCGGCTTGCCCAACTTTGGCAGTGCCTCATGTCGATATATACCTAGGTACTTGATAGCGCGTACCAGCAACGCAAGCAGAGGATAGCTACCGAGTTGTGACATAGTCTGAGACTTCCACACTCGAATTCATAGCAGAACACAGACGTTTCATCCGAATCAAACTGTGCCTTTGCAAGGGCTACTTTTGCACCTCGAAACTTGGACTTGAGTACGTGGAGTGCGTTCTTGGTCGATATGATTGGTGCACGCCACGAAGTCGACACGTCCGGAGTGGCATGCGGCGCAGGAGATGGGTTCGCTTAGCCATTCCTCTGCAGCCGCGTACGGTCTTCTTGCAAACGACAACTTGCTGCAAAAGGAGGAGCCTTACGATACCAACGCATATACTCTCAGCTTGATCTCCAGTCATCCACGATAAAACATGGATTGAGTCCTCTACGTCACTACGACCGGCAAAATTACTCTGGATCCTGCACCACTCGAACAGTCGTCAACGGTGCAGCGCGGCCAATTCGACAAACTCTGCGACATGGACTTCCTTCACGAAGACGTTTATTGGATCATGTTCTGCTACCTCTCTTTCCAAGGACGATGATCGAACATGCGATGGAGGGATTATGCGCGTGAAGGCTAAACCTGCGGCTTATCATATCCTCAGTCTGGCGAAGCTGTCACGGACAACACTATTACCAGCCTTGATGCGGGAGTACCTCTGATTCTACACAGCGACGAATATCCTTTGATGCGCCTCATCTTTCTCGTCCGCTTTTATTAACGATGTTGTTTCTAAAGACTGTCTTACTGACTTGAGCCATAGCAAGATGTTCATTGGTGGCTTGAACTGGGAGACTACAGAAGGTACGTATACTCGCTTTGGTGAGACAAAGTCGCATTCTAGTCTATACCACGCAATTACGCCCCTATATATAGGATCTTGCTAACTTCATGCAACAGAATCTCTCAAAGGCTACTTCTCGCAATTCGGTGAAGTTAGTGAATGCACCGTCATGCGCGATGCTGCTACCGGACGTTCTCGAGGATTCGGCTTTCTCACGTTCAAGGATCCCAAGTGCGTCAACATTGTCATGGTCAAGGAGCATTACCTTGATGGCAAGATTGTACGTCTACATCCGATCAAATCCGAGCTATAAGCTAACATCGTCTAGATTGACCCTAAACGTGCGATTCCTCGTGAAGAGCAGGAACGGACGAGCAAGATCTTCGTCGGTGGTGTCAGCCAAGAAGCCACCGAGGAAGACTTCACAAATTTCTTCAAGCAATTCGGTCGCGTTGTCGATGCCACACTTATGATGGACAAGGAGACTGGCCGACCCCGTGGTTTCGGTTTCGTTACGTTCGATGGCGATGCAGCCGTAGACGCTACACTGCGTGGTCCCCTCCAGATCCTTGGCAAGCAGATTGAAGTCAAGCGCGCTCAGCCCCGTGGCAACATGCGCGACGATGATGGAGGCGACGGTAACAAAAAGTTCGGCCGCGGAAACAAGTTCAACAAGTTCAACGATAATGGCAACGGTGGCCAAGGCGGCGGCAACAACTACGACAACGGCGGCGGAAACATGCAAGGCCAAGGCGGCAACAGCGCCATGTCTCCTGCTATGATGGCTCAGTACTGGCAGCGGATGCAACAATACTTTCAATCAATGCAGCAAACTCTCGCTCAGCAACAAGCCGGCGGTGGTATGCCCGGCAACCCCATGGCTGCTATGGGTGGCATGAACCCGATGCAGATGCAGCAGATGCAACAGCAGATGATGAACCAAGGTATGAATCGCGGCAACGGCTCTCCGAATCCCCAGATGATGGTTGGTCCGGGCGGTATGAACCCAATGCAGATGCAGCAAATGCAGCAGATGCAGATGGCACAGATGCAAGGTGGTGGTGGCCCAGGAGGTCAAGGTGGTCCGGGTATGATGAATCCTCAAGGTGGCCAGAGTGCCGGTGGTCCACGCCCAGCTTACACCGCTCAAGATCAACTCGCTTTCGAACAGCAAAAATACGAACAACAACAGGCACGCCGCCAACAGCAACTCTCCGGCCCCGCCGGCTTCGGCAACGCTCAGGGCGGACCTCAGAGCTGGGATGGCATGTACGAGGACGCGCCTCAGCCAAATATCCCCTCTGGTCCGGGTGGCGGTCGTGGCGGTTTTAGGAACAACCGTTCTCGCCAAGGCTCCAGCCAGCCCCCTGCCGGCGGTGGTCAAGCTCCCATCAACGCCCCTACTGGTCCTAAAAACGCTGGTATTAGGGGTGCGAACTACCGTGGCGGAGGTCACCGCGGTGGCGGTGGTTTCAGGCACCAGCCCTACGGTGGCCGTGGTGGTTAGACCCAGATGCGAGGATCTTTAAGAGAAAGAGAGAGCCGAGAAAAGAGTCGTGATAAAAACGGAAAAGTAGCTTGCTCATGTCCGGCTGAGCTTGGTGTACATGGCGGAATAATAGCGGTGGTGATATGCATGGTCGAGATCTTGTTTATGCGCATCCTCCTTTCCTGTTTCAGGTCGATATGGGAGAGTACGGACATGGTATTCAGGCTTATGGCATGACTAGGTTGGGGCTTTTACTTCTTTCTGTATAGTAGCATTTTTCAAAAAGTCCATTTCGGCGTTCTGGACCCTATCGGCCTTTTCAATCTTTGGATAATGTTAGAGAGTGACGACCGCAGACACTCACATCTTGTGACTTGAAAATTCGCTCAAAGGTTTAGAAGTTGCTTTGGTAGCTTCGGAAAGAGACGACGATGACACGAGAAGAGATAAAGATGCTATTGATATATATGATCTCCAATGAACAGGTCAAAAGTAACGACAGAACATCGTTGCGGTGGAGGCCGTTTTGATTTTGAACTTGGTTGTTTCGAAAAGAGGTTGTAGGAGGTTGAAAGGCGCAGAGAAGGATATTTATACGCAGACACTGAATATGGGAGTATCCAGCTAGGGCTATGTATCGATACGAATAGACTAGTTCTGCTTTGAGTTGTTGTACCTTGGGCTGATAAAGACTCCAAGGGTCTACACAGACGGAACACATGCGATGTGCTTGTGGTCTTGAATCAAATCGGAGATGAATAGAACTCCTTCATTCTCCACGGCAACACATAGTCAAATTGATCGCAGATTTCGTAGTGCGTAGTAATCCATTACATTGCGACGTAGTCGTCATTAGTCTAACGTTCAAAAGAGCCAAAGCTCAAATCTAAACTCCACCCATGCCATGCTATGTACCCATTATACAAGAATAACTCAACCCGACGCTATGCAACTAAAATCCAAAAAGTAGCCGAAGCCATGCCCAAACATTAAGATAATCCGGTCTTCTATCTTTGCTTCCTTTGTTTTGGTAACTCCATTTCCAGGTCATGCCTGGCCAAGGTGCAGCCCAGAGCTTGATTGAGACCTTGAATCCAACATATCCACTCGTAAAACATTTTCTAGCACATACACTCATCGCGACGATGCCAGCGCCTAGTATATAGAACGCTGGACCGAAGTCCGTCATATCCCATAAGTTGATCCAGTCCGCCTAGAGGCCGAGACATCCAGGAATGTGAACCAGGACGATGACCCATGGTAGTATAGATGAAACCATGAGCTTCCATGACGCGCCTTGTGCAGGCGCTGCAGGAACTCCGGTTGCAGCGTTGTTCTCTAGCTCGCTGATAGTCGGTGCTGGTGTTGTGCTAGGGTATATCGTACGGATAGTGGTGAAACCGCGATCGTCATATCCGGTCACTGTCTTAGGCCCATTGTCGGAGGAACCCGTAGGCAAAGCTTGCGGCGATGAGGTATAGGAACCGAGAGGGGACATCTGCAGATGTTTGTTAGCATGTTGCCCGTCGTCGAAGTAGACAGGAGTTCGCAAAAGGCTTACTGACAGTGGCTGAGCTGGGTGGAACAACCTTTCCGGAATCCGAAACGGTCCACCCGCTCGGAAGCCCGGGGTAGTTCGCAAATGTTGGTTGCGCAGTGGGAGTAGCCGACGGGTCGGGAATCCAGGGGTAGACGCTGGGGCGGTTGTAACTGGAGGTTTGGTGGGGAGTAAAGGGCAGCGGCTGGCCAGTAGCAGTCGCAGTGATGGCCGGTGCGTCCGCTATAGGAGCGTTACCACCAGAGAAGATTGTACCTCCAACAGATTTGATAGATCCCGAGGTACCAGTTTGGTCGCCGTAGACGTATTGAGTACCGGTAGAGTAGTCCTGAACCATGAGAGACTTGACCTTCATGGTGAAGGGGCCCTGAGAGTAGTCGGTGGGTCCGCGAGCCCAAGAGATGGTACCTGCAGGGTTGGCGGAATCACCACCGCTCCATGCACCGAACTTGACCTGCATAGGTGTCTGAGGGTACTGGTTGTTGGCATTCGCAGGCTCTAGCGTACGGACAGTGGTGCCATCAATCTGCCAGACAATCTGTTCCGGGGTCCATTCAATGGTGTACTTCTTGAAGCCCGATTGACTGCCTGGGTCGGAGTGGAAAGCACCACGGTTGTAGTCTGTAGTTTGGCCCTTTCCGAAGTAGTTACTCTGAACCTCATCGGGGTCTGCACCGAGCCATTCCCAGTCGATTTCGTCCAGTGTGTCGGATTGCAGCACGAAACTGCTGACAATACCCGCGCCCGGTGCGGCTTGAATTTCAATGTCCACCTTTCCGAACATGATGTACCACAGCGAAGTAAGCTGAGGTGCGTCTCCAGACTGTCTGACGGTGAACGACACACCATCGTCGCCGTAAGTGGGATTGCCTTGGGGTGTGAAACTCTCCGACTCAGACGAGAAGTCAATGTTGACGGTTCTCCCGAGAGCGGAGTCTGGAGGACAATCGCTTCGTAGAGTGGGGTTGCAGTTGGACCATGTCTGGGCGTTTGAGGGAGCGATGAGGGCGACCGAAGCCAGAGCAGTGAGTGCTCGTATCGTGGAGCGCATATTGAGCGTGAAGTGACGGCGAAGATGGCAGGCAGCGAGCGTTGCCGACGGGATGCGCCGGAGTTTGTGGTACGGCGATGCGATGCGATGTGATGTCCCGAATGTGCTGTTATATCAAACAAGTACTAATGAGCAGCACGTGTGAGTATCGTGGTGAAGATAGTTTGGTTGGGTACCTTCTCAGCACTTGAGAGGTAATGGGTAAGATGTGTGTAATGCAGGCACAGCGGCCCGGCCAGCATTGTACTTTTGTAGTGTACCAGCCATCTCTAAGCAATGACCTACATGATGAGGTGTCAAGCAAGCTAGCAGAGCGGGCCAGGGTATGTTGCGATACGGGATTCGGCAGAATTGGACGAGGTTGGCTGAGCGACGCCGGGAGGTTGGTAGACGATGCTTCCCAGCCACACCAAAACCCCTGTCTCTCTGCCGAGCGCTGTTGCCAACGCAGTGCCCGAGCCAGAATAGATCTCAAGTATGACGCCATCAAATTTCTTCTTCTCAACAACTTTCATGGTTGTGTAGACATTTTACAGGTATTGCGCAATGGGCAAGATACGATGTAGGTGACATGGAGGCATCCCGGCCTCCTCTCCACGGGTGTGGCGTCGTGTGATGTGGCGCATGCTTCCAGCATCCAGACCCCGCAACACCAGATCCTGCACCTATCTTTAGACACAACGCGCCCTCCGCATACGCTCCGCCTCTAGTTTACCAATAGCACCTGCAGCGGAATCAGACCCTGCATACGGTCCTTCCGAGAGAACCGTGGAAGCCTTTGTCCCTTTCTAGGCCATTCTGAGTCACACGTCCATAAAGAATTTATCATTGTTACGAGGTCTCACCACCTCACGAAGTAACCCAAGTAATGTCTCTGACCAACGCCACGCCGCTCGAAGTCGCCCAGGCGGCAAGACTCGGGTCCCGGAAACTTGCAGTCTTGTCTACCGAGGAGCGCAATGCCGCATTGACAGCTATCTATGCCGCACTAGCAACTGGAAAAGAGGAGGTTCTGGCGGCCAATGCGCAGGATCTGGAAGCTGCGAACAAGGCCGCAGCAGGAGGCACGCTAAGTGCAAGTCTAGTCAAAAGACTGGATCTGGGGAAGCCGGGGAAGTATGAGGATATGCTGCAGGGAATATTGGATGTGAAGGATTTGGAGGACCCAATCAACAAGACTACCGCGAAGACCCTACTAGATGATGACTTGGTATTATCAAGGATAACATGTCCTATTGGCGTGCTTCTCATCATCTTCGAAGCTCGGCCTGAAGTCATCGCCAACATCTCTGCGCTTGCCATCAAGTCCGGAAACGCAGCTATCCTCAAAGGCGGTCGTGAGTCCAGCAACAGCTTCGCGGCCATTGCATCCATCATCTCCAAGGCTCTTTCATCAACAGCAGTTCCATCAGACTGTCTCCAACTAGTCCAAACGCACGATGTCATTGCCGACCTGCTAAAGCAAGATACCTACATCGATCTATGCATACCCCGTGGAGGCAACAAACTAGTTCGCTACGTAAAAGATACCACCACCATCCCCGTTCTCGGCCACGCAGACGGAATATGTTCAACCTACCTCTGCGCTGACTACTCTGCCGAGAAAGCCACCAAGATCATCTTGGACGCAAAGGCAAGTTATCCAGCTGGCTGCAACGCCCTGGAACAGCTTCTTGTCGAAGAAGCAGCCCTTAGCTCCACCCTGCCCACAGTTGCGGAAGCTCTGCTGCAAAAGGGAGTATCACTTCGCTGCGATCCCACCTCCCTGCTCGCGCTTAAGGGCAAGTTAGACCCACACTCCGCGACGCTACTTCAGGAAGCTGGGCCAGAAGACTACGACACAGAGTTCCTAGACTACATCCTCGCCATTAAAACAGTGACCAACGTCGACGAAGCCATCAACCACATCAACGCACACGGCTCTCACCACACAGATGCTATCCTGACTACCTCAGAAGCCACGGCAAAGACCTTCCTCGCAGCCGTCGACTCATCCTCCGTCTACTGGAACACCAGCACACGCATGGCCGATGGACAGCGATACGGCTTCGGTACTGAAGTCGGCATCTCGACGAACAAAATCCATTCCAGAGGACCCGTAGGACTAGAGGGCTTAACGATTTACAAATGGGTCATCGTTGGTGACGCACAAGTTAGCGCAGACTATGGCGCTGGAGGCAAGCAGTGGAAGCATCAACGACTACCTATAGGTGACGAAGAAAGCATAGCGAAGAACGACGAGGAGAGGGAGGTGTTGAGGAAGTTCAGAGCGAGTAAGGCTTAGTCTGTATATAGTCGGTTAAAGAGAAGGATACTTCCTAACCTACTACACACCCACTAAATCAATTCTCGCAACAGCGTCTTCACATGCAAGTCCTCCAAGTAAACATTCAAAGAAGCCACGTTACCATTAACCCTTCCAACTCGGTCTCTGTCTCTTGTCGCATAACCGCATTTTCCCCCATCTCGCCCTACCTACCCCACGGTACAATGCGGTGTACACACCCCAATCACCTGCAAGATCCTGCATAGTGCATACCATACCCTCAACATGTCCTTCCATCTCCGTAGTACACCCGTCAATCGAACAGTTGTACGCGTCCCCCCAAGAGCACAGTAGCACGCCGTGTAACAAACCAGATTAGACTCATTAGAGTAGCTGGTAACAGTTGGCAACATACACAATCGGCCCGTTATACAATGGGTGGGGGGGTGTACCCGCTGTGGTGTGATTGCCACGACTCGAGAACAAGTCTAACAAAATGAGGATGCGACAAAGAGTGTGCCCGCAGTTATTATGGCTAGTCATGTACCATACAGCGAAACGTGTACTTGCGATCGATCGATCGGGGTGAATTCTTACCTGAGGGTACTGGGGGCTACATCCTCATGCTCATGAAATGGTTGTATCAGGGAAAGAATCAAAGCAATGATATGTCAAGGTAACACGTGTAAATGTGCAAGTCTAAAAGTATATCTTTGCCTTAGATCTATACAAGATGTGAAGCGATGCAACTATCTACCTAGAGTCCGCACAAATGCGCCAACTCCATGTCTTCCCATCCCTCATAACATAACGTGGTATCCCATAAACATTCTCGAAACTGCACATGCTAAACATCTGATATGTATGCGCTTACTCAACACCCTTGTTCCTCAGAGCGAGGGGAGTCTGAGAGAAGATCTGGGCACCGTCCTTGAGGCGGCGCTCCTCGTTCTTGCGGCCGTTGACAAAGTCGGGGTGGTTGAGGGTAAGCTCAACAGCACCGTTGACGACGTGGTCGACGGCTTCTACACCCAACATGAACGAGTGGTCCTGGTTACCGACCTCGTAGCGCCATGAGCCGAAGCGGCCACGCGACAGAATGTCCTTTTGTTGGAGCGCAGGGAGCAGCTTGGTGAGAACACCCTCACGCTCGAGCGAGGGGGTAGGGTATCCGTGATCGAAGCGGCGGTGGTAGGTGGAGACGATCTCGTCGTCGGACTTGATCATCTCGGTGTTGATGAGACCCTGAATGCAGTCCTTGAGCATGTTCTTCTCGTCAACGGGCTTCATGCTAGACTCGGAGACCTCCAACATGATAGACCAGTATGGACCCTCTTTGGGCTCGGTGGAACTGGGCTTGGAGCCATCGGCGAGCTGCTGGGTGGCGAGCTTGACGTCCTTTTGCGGCTGGTTGTATGGCGAGTAGTTGGAGAAGATGGTGGCGCGGTAGAATGGACAGTCATCCTCGGGGAAGTAGAGCCAGCACTTGTCACCAATGCGCTCTGGTCGCTCGCCACGGAGACCAACACCAATGACGTGGGTGGTTGAGTAGAAGAGACCCTTGCTGAGGTCGATGAGCTCCTTGTCGCCCATGGACTCAACCAGGGCATCGACAGCCATGGTGTTGACCAACTTCTTGTAGTTGACGACTGTGCCGTCGTTCAGGTGTACCTTGTGGCCGTCGGCGTCAACCTTGGTGACCTTGCCGTGGTCACCGTATCTTGTCTTGGAGTCTGGCAGTGTCTTGGCGACAGCCTTCCAGATACCACCGGTACCGTCTCGTGCGGGGAAGCGGAAGGTTGCGTTGGGACCCCAGTTTCCTGCGGTCTTGTTGTGAATGATGTTGTTGATGACACCCTTGACGTTGGGGGCAGCGACACGCTCTCCGAGCCATTGGCACTGCATCTTGGTGGTAGGCACAGCCCAGACCTTGAAGTTGTATGGCCTCATGAAGAGGTCAGCAATGCCGACACCCATCTGGCGCATGATCCACTCGTCAAAGTCCTTGGGCTTGGTGTTTGCCACGCGAGCCTCAAGTGCGGCGTCAATCAAGCCGTCGACGCACTTGGCCTGGTCGTCCTTGTCCAGCATGGACAGGTTGTTCTGAAATGGGTAGGGGACCCATTGGCGCTTGCAGCGGACGTACGACACACGCTCGTGGGTGAACCAGTCGTCGTCGTTGGGAAGGGCCTCGTCGATGCAGTCGTCGAAGTACTTGTAGTGGGAGAAGATGACATGGCCGCCGACGTCGTAGAGCTGGGGCGATGTTAGACCACGACAGTCAATTAGCGGTTGGGATACTCACGAAGCCCTCTGGAGTCGTGTCGGTCGAAGCCAGACCACCAGGTGTCTCATTCGAGTCGACAATCAGCCATGAGGGGCCGTCCTGCGACTGTTAGCATTTGCCCCGCCACGTGCACGAGATGCTGAGGCATACAATCTGGTGGAGGCGCTTTGCAGCTCCGAGACCAGTCGGACCAGCGCCGATAACGAGCACATCGACAGAGCTGTGGCATTGTCAGCTCGTGCTCCGAAGCATGTAGTGGTGGGTGGGCGGTGAGCATACATTTCTTCCTTGGCGGATCCCATCTTGCCTTGTAGTATTTCCTGAAAACTCGGAACTCGCTTCAAAGTCTGGCGGGCGTAGTTCAGCATGTACTCGGTGCGCGAGCAGTACAGCAGTAGTTATAGAGGAATGTGGAGCAGAAGCCAGACACTTGGGGCGTGGTGGAGGGAATATAGCTGGTGATAAACTAAGCACGCCAAGGGCGATACTGCTTTAAGCGGGTCCAGGGTACAGCCAGCTGGAGGGGCCAGCCGCCGAAGGACTCGGCTGGGGGCGAGCTTGGAGGCTCGTACAGGCCGCGGCCAGAAAAGGGGCAGGCCGCCATGGGGACCGTCGATCTGGCAGAACATGGCTGCTCGTGGGCGCCTTCATTGGCCATTGTCTTTTGCGTATCACGACAGCCTCCCTATTTCACATCCCATATGTGCAACATGTTCATGTCTTTGAGGGCCGACGTCGTTGGCGCGGGTGGAGCCTCCACTTTGGCTTGTTGCAGCACCACGGTGAAGCTTGACCGACTCTATCTGTGGGGGACTACAGCCTCAGATCCACGACGCATCGACTTGGTGTCGTGCTAGTGCGACCATGCAATCAACCCTTGTGTGCGAAGCACTTTGTACGGGAACGACATCAGCATGCATTACCCCTATTGTGCGCCTCATCCTGCTGCTCCAGCGATGCGGCACGTCTCCTGCAATGTAAACAATTTGCGGCGTGGGAGCTGTACGAGGGCTTTGATGTGCATGCAGATGTCACCGTGGGACCGGTGTCTTCGGCCGCTCTCGTGCAGGCAAAGCAGTACGCGTACGCTCCTACACAAGCAATTGCTAAAAGGCGGCTCAAAATTTCGGCGCCATGGCTGGGGGAGGCTCGCAGTTACGTTCGATTGCGCGTCCATCGAGGGCTCCACAGCAGATCAGTTTCACCTCATCGAGCATTGCAAAATCCCGCGCGGCTCCTGGCAAATCTTCATCTTGCCTCATATCAGCTCTAGTACATAGTTGGCCGTTGCCCAGTTATAGCACGCCTAAACCAGAACCCCCCCTGTGTGCCGGCTCTAGAAGGTCGTCTGGCTGATTTCCGCTCCGCCCCTCCCTCCCCTAGCGCATCGAGGTATTATTACCGTCACATTTACAAGTGCTCTCAACACTTCTGTCGCTCTTTATCTCCTCATTGCCTCTTGCTTCGAGTGCACCGAGTCACAAACCGAGTTCGTGTTGCTTGTGCCACGCTTGTCCCTGACGCGCAAGACATAATCAGTCAGCAGCGCTAGCCCACTGCTACTGCAACCACGCCTTCTCCATCGCCGCACCTCCTTTGACCTTGGACAGCGACATTTCACTGAGCCAGCACCTTTACCGTCCCTCGTTAGCCACTACTCGCAACCATGTCGGACGAGAAGATGAGATCCTCTGTCGAGGCGTCGCGCGACACCGCTCTGCCTGTGCTCCCGACTGTCAACCCAGAGGCGCAGAAGTCAGCCCCCGAGGCGCCATCTTTCCATCCTGCGGTATACATTGCGTATGTCAGCTCAATCCTACCACCGACGACATGCAACTAACAAGCACGCAGAACATGGATCACTCTCAGTTCCAGCACAATCGTCTTCAACAAGTACATCTTAGATACAGCCAAGTTCCGTACGTGTATTCTACTCTGCCGCAACAAGACCAAGGCCTCCTAACACCAACACCAGACTACCCCATCTTCCTTACAACATGGCATTTGGTTTTTGCGACCGTCATGACCCAGATCCTTGCCCGCTTCACCACCGTCCTTGACTCGAGGAAAAAGGTGCCCATGACCGGACGCGTATATCTGCGAGCCATCGTTCCCATCGGTATCTTCTTCAGTATGAGCTTGATCTGCGGTAACCAGGCATACCTGTACCTGAGTGTAGCCTTTATCCAAATGCTCAAGGTACGTGCGGATTGAACATGGACAACGTGGCAACTACTGACCTCTGCAGGCTACTATGCCCGTCGCTGTTCTTCTCACCACATGGGGTCTCGGAGTCGCGCCTGTCAACCTGAAGACGCTCGGAAACGTCTCCTTCATCGTTATCGGTGTCGTCATTGCCTCAATGGGAGAGATCCAATTCGTCATGATCGGTTTCCTCTTCCAGTGCGCTGGTATCGTTTTCGAGGCTGTCCGTCTGGTCATGGTTCAGCGCCTTCTTAGCGGTGCCGACTTCAAGATGGACCCGCTTGTCTCCCTCTACTACTACGCCCCTGCTTGCGCTGTCATCAACGGATGCATTTTGCTTTTCACCGAGCTTCCCAAGATGACCATGGCTGATATCGACCGCGTCGGTCTTATGACTCTGTTCGCCAACGCATCTGTTGCTTTCCTGCTCAATGTCTCGGTCGTTTTCCTGGTACGTTTTCTCCTACTCATCCGCCATGCATCTACTTACGCGTTTCTAGATTGGCAAGACCTCGTCGCTCGTCCTTACCCTCTCCGGTGTACTCAAGGACATTCTCCTAGTCTTTGCGTCTATGTTCCTCTTCAAGGACCCCGTCACCCCTCTCCAGGCTTTCGGTTACGCCATCGCGCTTGGCGGTCTCGTCTACTACAAGCTCGGCGGAGAGAAGCTGAAGGAGTACCTTGGTCAGGGTAGCATGAAGTGGCAGGAGTTCGGCCACACCAGGCCCGTTCTCCGCAAGTTGATGGTCTTCGCTGCTGTAGTCATCGGCATGTTCCTCGTTCTTGGCTCTCTCGGACCGCGTTACGCTCCCGACTCGACCAACCAGGTCTACAACGGTATCGGCAAGCTCATTGGCGACAAGGCTGTATAAAGAACTCGGCCGTTCAAGATGAGTCGACGCCATTTTCTAGCTTAGAGCATGCGCACTCGCAGTATGCTCGGCTGTCCTTGTTTTCCCTTCCCCCTTGTCGTTTTATCTTTAGCTTAGAGTGGGTTTGGAGTGTACGGTGACCGGTGTTTATATGCATAGACGAGCAGGAACTTCTCATGCTGACGGATCCTTGTTTGAGACTTTTTTGTGGTTCGGTACGCGACAGTGGTGTCTACCGCATGTCAGGGAGCAATGACAGGGAATGATTAAGTAACACGTTTTCGACACATAGATCTTGCAGGCATTCACAGAAACTGCGAGCGAAAATATATACTTCTAGCTACATAATGGTAATGCTTCCGAGCAGCCTATTCAATTCCTTTGTGCTATGTCGTGATGGTATCTCTGATGGACGTAGCGTTGAAGACTAGCGGGGGTCTCAATTTGGAAACAGGTGTAATTTATTGGGATACGAGCGTGCAGTGATTGATTCACCAACATGCAGCACAATTATCACATGCCATGACCTAAATATTCTGTAGACTAAGCGGCATGCATGCTGGGCCACTTCGCTCCTGCTGGGTGGAGTTTTGGAGTTCTCGCTACGCACGGGCCATACCACGCCAAGCAGCTCTTTCCTGCCAAATTCGAATCGCGAACTTCAGTCTCTCCCTCAGTCGTTACTAACCCACAGCACAACACGCTCAAAATCAGTCAAGATGGGAATCGACCTCGACCGCCACCATGTTCGAGACGGGCACCGCAGTATGTGATCCCCCGTCGAGTCGGCGCAGCAATGCGCTGGCGACAGCTGTCTTTTAGACGCAACATGAAGCCTTCGAGAGAAGAGAGATTGACGAGTATACAGAGGTCCCTAAGTCCACCAACCCCTACGTCAGGCTGTTGGTGCGTCTGTACAAGTTCCTGGCTCGTAAGTACTCCAACGACAAATGCGCACATTTGTGCTAACCGCGGATAGGCCGTACCGACGCCAACTTCAACAAGACCGTTCTGCGACGCCTCATGATGTCGAAGACCAACCGTCCCGTAAGACGACCGATCGCATATAGACGGTAGAATAGTACCACTAACGCATCATAGCCGGTCTCCGTCTCCAAGATCGTTGCCAACGCTGCCAACAAGCACTCCGGCAAGGAGCACGAGGGCAAGACCGTCGTCGTCGTACGTCAAGCGAACCCATAACGAAGAACAATGGCTAACAAACAGTCAGGTCGGTACCGTCACTGACGACAACCGTATGCTCGAGGTCCCCAAGCTCTCCGTTGCGGCTCTCCGCTTCACCGCCTCTGCCCGCGCTCGCATCGAGAAGGCCGGTGGTGAGTGCCTCACCATCGACGAGGTCGCTACCCGTTTCCCCACTGGATCCAACACCCTCCTCCTCCGTGGACCCAAGAACGCCCGTGAGGCCTTCAAGCACTTCGGCTTCGGTCCCCACTCCCACAAGAAGCCTTACGTCGAGAGCAAGGGCCGCAAGTTCGAGCGTGCCCGTGGACGCAGAAGGTCGCGTGGTTTCAAGGTTTAAGCGTGTGCTGGAAGCACTCTGGTTTCTCTGGGTTGGCGTGGTCATGGTCATGGGAATTCACTTATGAGGCGCGCGTCATGACTGGCAAGGGCTCTTCGAAAGCCTGCAAAAAGATACTCAATGCTCAACATGAAATGAAAGCATACAAATGGGCTCTTCCGAGCTCATGGTTAAATCATGAACCACATTTCCACATATTGCTATGGTGAAGGTGCACGTCATCGCCGTTCAACCAATATCACAATTATGCGCAAATATCAAATACAGGACTATTTGCCTGCAACAGGAAATTCTATATATGAATGCTGAACGACGAAGTTTTTCGCGTGCTAATTTTTCTGCGGCTCCCCCACATCCAGCCAACCACAGCGCTAACCACTCTCACCCACGTAATGCCCCAACTAGTCATTGCAACACTTGAATGACTTGACTTCAACACCAACACTAGCAAAATGGCCGACAATCGAAAAGTAGGCGTATTGGGCGGTGGCCAACTGGGTCGCATGCTGATTGAGGCCGCAAATCGGTTGAATATACAAGTCAACGTCCTGGACGTTGCGGGATCACCAGCAAAGCAAATATCATCGCACGACGGCCACATTGAGGGATCTTTCAAGGATGCCGCAGCTGTCAAGAAACTCGCAGAATCATCCGATGTCGTTACTGTCGAGATTGAGCACGTGGACACCCATATGCTAGAAGAGGTATCAGGACAGGTCGTGGTCGAACCCAGCTGGAAAACACTACGGACCATCAAGGACAAGTATGCACAAAAGCAGTACCTGAAAGAGCATGGAGTCGACGTTGCGGACAGCATCGATCTGGAAGGAAAGGGTGTTGCGGGGTTGAAAGAGGTTGGTACGTCGTATGGCTATCCATTCATGCTTAAGAGCAAGACAGAGGCGTATGACGGCAAGGGCAATTTCGTGGTGAAGACGGAGGCGGATGTTGACGCGGCATTCGAGGCGTTAGGAAAGAGACCGTTGTATGCGGAGCGTTGGGCGGACTTCCGGATGGAGCTTGCAGTCATGGTTGTCAAGACGAAGGACGGCGTACTCACTTTCCCAACAGTTGAGACTGTACACGAGGACAGCATCTGCAAGCTCACATACGCACCACCACGTAATGTAGCAGAGGAGACCACACAAAGAGCCCAGGAACTCGCCAAGAAGGCCATCGGTGCTTTCGAAGGCAAGGGTGTCTTTGGTGTCGAGATGTTCCTGCTCAAAGATGACAGCCTACTCATCAACGAGATTGCACCTCGACCGCACAACTCAGGACATTATACCATCGAAGCCTGCCCTATCTCACAATACGATGCGCATCTACGAGCCATCCTCGACCTCCCCATCTCTCAGTCCAGCCTCCGCCTCCGCGAACCCTCAATCATGCTTAACATCCTTGGAGGCAAGACACCGGACTCCCACGTCCAAGTCGCCAAGAAGGCTCTTGAGTCGCCAAACGCATCGATACATCTCTATGGCAAAGGCGATGCACGTCCCGGACGCAAGATGGGTCATATCACCATCACAGCACCCACACTCGCAGCAGCTGAACGCGAGATCCAGCCCCTCGTTGACTTTGTCGACAACCAAAAGGGTAAGACTGTCGAATCTCGTAGTCCAGAAAGCTCCAAGGAAGAGCCACTCGTCGCTGTAATCATGGGCTCAGACTCTGACCTGCCCGTCCTTCGCGCCGGCTTGGAGATCCTCACCAAGCTGCAAATCCCCTTCACAACACGCATCACCAGCGCCCACCGAACACCAGACTGGCTACGCGAGTTCTCCAAGACCGCTTCTCAGACCTCTCTGAAAGTCATCATCGGCGCAGCGGGCGGTGCAGCCCATTTACCCGGTATGTGTGCGTCGTGGACTACACTTCCCGTCATCGGACTTCCTGTCAAGGCGAGCGTGATGGATGGCTGGGACAGTCTTGTTAGCATGACTCAGATGCCGCGTGGTGAGCCTGTTGCAACAGTCGGTATCAACAACTCGACCAACGCTGCGCTGCTCGCTGTTCGCATCCTCGGCGCTGAGGATAAGGTTATTCGCGAGAGGTTGAGGGTCTGGATGGAGGGTAACGAGAAGGAGGTTATGCGTAAGGACAAGACTTTGCTGGAAGATGGCTGGGAGGCTTATCTCAAGGGTATGGGCAAATAGATATGGGTGGGAGTGCATCAAGCATGCAGTATTCTCCCCAACCTGGTTGGGTGGGCTACGTAGGTAGTACAATACCTTTTCCCCTCGCTTGGGAAGGTTTCTTTTCCTTTGCTGGTGCAGTGAATGCGGTATACGCACTATACCATGGAATTTCTTTAATCCTAAACATCATCACTATAATGCTGTACATCGTCATCGGCACTGTTATCGTTGCTCGTTGCGGGCCTTGAAAACGCGCTTCCCCTTCGTCTGCACAAACATGACGGTTCTTTTCCTTCCTTTTTCACTTCCTGTCAGATGAGTTCTACTTTGTCTTGCTTCTCTCACACGAAGCCATGATAGAGCTCTGAACGAATTTTGGACACTTAAGAATGGTCAGTGTCAAGCCGCATGCGTGGTTACTTCATGACCCTTTTCCATCCTCTTCTTTGTTCGATCCCTTCCAATTTCGTGAAGGGGAGAGTCGATAATCGGCCAATCAGATATCGTAAGACGTTAAATGACTCCTTCCTGTCGCCACACTGAGAAGTTACCAAGGTTCAAACGCGCTTGGACCTACCAATCCGTTTGCCTCTACTTTGGACCTACCAATCTGTTTGCCTTTACTTTGAAAATCTCTGTACAAAAGGCGACACCCTACCTTCTACAACTTCTTTACTTTCCACAACCTCCTTGGCTTCTGCAACTTCTTTAGCTTCCACACCCTCTTTCCCTTTTACAACCTCTTCCGCAGTAGCTCGCACCATTGCAACCTTTCTCCCAAATTGAACTCACCTACCCGAGATATCCCATCATGTCGCGGCGATTTGGTAGCCCGACACCGTACGACGACGTTGAGGGACGGCGACGAAAACAGAAGCGCTACATGTCTCGCTCAGACGAAGAGATCAGCGAAGAGATGGACACCGGCGGCTTGAGCTATCGCGCTGGCTGGCCCACGCTTCAACCTCTGCCTCTGGATACTGTGTCAGAAGGTACAAGGACACATATTCCGGATGCGCCAGAACGACTTGAAGAAGTTAAGTCGATTCTCGCAACCCAAGACCTGTTGTTCACTACGGGTATCAGTTACAACTTCACATACCGCATCCCTCGTGATGCTGGTGAAGAAGATGACATGTCCCAGTATCTAACACTTCTGTTTACCGTGGATATGAGTAATCATCGTCACAAAGTCGAGAACACGATCATGCGGATTCGTACCCGATTCCGCGATCACGAATCTACAGCGGCCGTCCATATTGAATGTCTCGATTACCGCGCTCGCAACTCGCTAACCTCTTTCGCCATTCGCCATACAGAAGTAGACGTGCACAACCAATGGGGTGCTACATTGCCGATTGTTCTGTCTTCGTTGGGAAAGCATGAATGGCTTACTGTGGAACTGCTACGTCGTGGTTTGATGGATCAAGATTCCAAAGACTGTCAGCCTACCATCGTCATCACCACACCTACCGCACGCGACTCCAAATGGTCTAAGACTGTAGTGCCTTCGATACTCGCCGGCATCAGCGACACAGCCCCGGGATTCGCCATCGAGATACTGTTTGGCGTAACGATTCTTTTGGGGAGGAAGCAGTACCCTGCCAGCGCTGTGGTGGATAGTACATCCTACGTTAAAAACTTACGCATGGGATTCTCCCTCGGATTATCAAACGACAACCGCGGGTGTAGTACTTTGGGAGATCCGTAACTCTAGATGATGGAACTCGGTGTGGCATCACAAACTGGCACTGCGTGCGGGATGATCGACTTGATAAAGGTATTACTTATTCTCCTTGGACGATGCACAAGCTGACCCTCAAATAGTTGTGTCAAGAACTTCCAACGGGGCTCTGGGAGTCGGAAACAAGACACTAGACGCTGCACCGCAACAGATGCTCTCGCCAGCGACACTGGATCACCATGGTCACCTGGGCACGCTCCAAAAAGTGCTCAAGGAATTGTCTGCTCAAGCTGCTGACGGAGTGGAGGAAGCCAGAACCAAGTTCAAAGAGATGGACGAAGAATACAAGAAGTGTGACAAGTTTGCACGCGGCATCGGCCACGTTTATGCAGGCTCAGGTCGTCGGACTGTCACGGCCAACAAATACGCCACCGATGAGGATACCGGAAAGTCTAAAGAGAAAAAGAAGACCATGCAGGCTACATACCCCTTCCCACTCGACTGGGCGTTGATTCGCTTGGACAGGGTCCATGAGCGCGACGTGATCAACCACCTGCCAGATGTCAAGCTGCCAAGGAACGTCACCTCCAACCTCGTTTCAGGAAAGCGTTGCCACCAATGGACAACCTTCAACGTCAGCAAGGAAGACGTGCGAGTAGCGAAATATGGGCGCACGAGTGGCTGGACGCTCGGCAGCATCAATGCTTGTTTGATTGCCATAAATCCTAAATCGGACGCAGAGATCGCCGGTGTCTATGGCTTCAGTATGGAGACTGTGGGTGCGTGTTTCGGAGTAGCCAACAGCCGTGGAGCAGAAGCTTTCCTTGAGTCCGGTGACCCCGGGAGCATCCTTGTGCATGACGGATCAGGCACTCAACTCGGACTCCTGTTCGGAGTGACCAGCGGCGGACAAGGAATGGCCATGCCACTTGACCTCGTTTTCCAGGACATCAAGAAGATTACTGGAAAAGCTGTCACTGACCCACCTTATGTCGGTAAGCTGAGATTTGCTCCAGATGAAACGACATGAAGCTAACTTTGAGCAGCACCAAAGCTCGTGGGCCTTGCTAAGTACGAGTTGGCGGAATAGTTGTTAGGCGAAGAAGTACAGGCTTATCTACTTCTTGTAGAAGCAATCTGTAGTTTGCGAGCCTTTGGAAGAGGGAATGCGGCGAAAATGGATGCTGAGAGTTGGAACCGCATGTTAGTCTCAGCGTAGGCTAGTCTACACTTTCCTTGATCAATCTCGTCTGTTTGATCCATAAGCGAAAGGGAGTTGGTGTCATCGAACTCTTGATCATACGGAGACACAGGCTGGATACGTTGGTGCCTAGCCATAGGCGTGAGTCTTGCCTTGAGTTTTTATCAGATCCCAATATTCAGTATGATAGGCTTCGGAGCTCTGTCCAATGTGTTCCCTCGAGGCATAGTACCTTCACGTCTCTCCTTCAGGTTTCTCCTCTGCAACATCCTCCTCTTGTGCCTCTTTATCAACGCTCCTCCAGTAACCGACCATCCCGTTCAATGCATTCCCATGCTTCTCAAACTCTCTCAAAGACACCTTTTCCCTGCCTCCTATCCACTTCTTGCCCACCTCGTTGCACTCCTCCAACCGCTCTTTCTTCTCTTTCGTTTGCGCGTACACACTGTAATCATCCAGGATCTCATTGCCGACATACAAGACCGGATCTTTAGATTTGAGGAAGGTTGGTAAGAGAAGAAACCAGTCTACGAAAGGCGAGTAGACGAAAGATTCAGACGTGATGTGAGACTGAAGGTCGGATTCGAGAACTGTGATGGAGAGGTCTGAAAGGAATTCAATGTCGAGAGGTGTGAACGCTGGATCTTGGGCGAAACATCCTATCTTGGTGTCCTTCTTGTCATCTTTGACTGCCTGATGATTAGTTGCTTCGAGCGAATGAAGAAGGTAGAATAATAGCAACGTACGCCGTTCGACTACATCAACAAACAGTACAAGCTGCCATAGACTTCTCCACCGATGCGCCCAGTCCCTGCTGAAACTGCCGATTCCTATGCACACCGCATTCTCGACTCCCCATCCACCATCTCCGCCCCTCTTTTCCAGAATCTCTTTGACTTGCTGGGCAAGCAACGTGTCCTCCCATCGCTCTTGCAAAGTGCGAAAGTCTTCGAGCATTTTCTCAGCCGTCAGACCTTCCACAACCCTAGTAGGCAGAGATCCAGCGTCCACCTCTCCTTTCCCTTTATCGTTGAGCGAAACACTTGCCAATCCATGAGTGATCACAGTCCAACCATCATCACTCTGAATCTCCTTCCTCTTCACACGCCCCTTGCCTTTCTTGCTCATTTCTTCTCTTCACCTCTTCGGGCTCCACTCAAAAATCAGTCTCGGCTGGAAAACAAGGCGCATATTCTCGAACCGAAAGAGCAGCAAAACCCGAAGTGACGTACAAGATACACTGATCGTCACGTCGTTGACTTAAGGTGCGGCTTGCATGGGCGCGTAAAAGGGGTGGCCAAAGTGCTGAGGGCAATGACGGGAAGGATGGAAAAGGACCACCTGGGCGCGTAGAAAATCATCGTGAGAGGACAGGGTCTGGTTTTAGTGGGGAAAGGGAGGCTCGGAACGGGATTTCCGACGCGGAATGGCAAAAAGGAACCTGGCAAGGCCCGCAAACCATTGCAAAAGCCATATGGCAAGTGTGTCTCTTCCAGATGGGTCTGCGATCTGGCCCGCATTTCAACCCGCCCGCTAATGTCTGAATTGTGCATGTAAACCAGGCCTCCTGGTTGCGGCTTACAGATGCAGGCTTCTTTGGTATGGGTATTATCAAGCATGACAACATGCTGCTGACGCTGAGTGAGCGATGCGTGGAACAGGAAATGCTGGCGTCATGAACAGTATTGGATGTGCAGCTTATGTGCACCAAACTATATGGTAGGGAGCTATGTGCGCAAGGAAAGACCGTCGTAGCTGCTAAGCAGTCGGTCCACCACCATCTACCTAGACCAAAAGTACCGCGTACGCTCCAACTGGAGATTGTCGCTTCAGAAACGAGAAGAGACCGGATATCTTTCGCGCCCAACGCCATGCCCGTAGAAAATCATATTAATAAACAAATGACAGAATCGTGGCTTAGACGACCCATGTTATCCATGAGGCAGCTGCAAGCATTGCAGGTACCACTATCGATGCATAGCTATTGAAGACCATGTTGTGTGGTGCTGGCGATGATGTTGTTGCGTATACAACTTGAAAACCAATGTGCTGGCCTGGCGCTGTTGTGTTTTCACAGTTTGTCTGGTTGACCTCCGGTACATCCTCTGGTTCGGCGAAAGTGATGTCGGCGCACTGTTGATCTCTGTTAGCAACTGCAGGATCGCCACTCTGGGACGCTTTTACTTACATTGTAGAGAGCAGCGCCATGTTGCGCAAGCTCAATAATTTGGATTGTCGCATTGTCGCCAACTTGAGGCGTATAGTTGGCAGGTAACGGTACTTGCGGTAGGCAGAACTGGCCAGGATATTGCTGGTTCGAAGGGCCTTGAATTTGAAATACTGGTACCATTGTGTGCGAGTAGTTTAGAGGTTCATTGCCATAGCCCATGTTGATGTAGAACATGGCAAGCGAATGCCCTGGAAACCATCCGGGTTGGATTGAGACGGCGCCGCCCTTCAACGGCCACTTTGTGCGATTTTGCGACATTGGCATACCGCCGCCTATGGATGCTGTCAGCCATCATTTTGTGCGCAAATTGATCAGGTTGAGCAACGTACATGGGTACATCCATTGCATGCCATACGGAAACCCATATGTGCCGGTGTCATTGTGGTAGTTGATTCCGAGCGACCCATCTGGGATAGTTGGGTCTGTGTCGGACATGGTTCCATTAGTGTGGATGTTGTTTCCTCTCCATGGTGGGTAGACGATAACGGTATGTGCAGCGGCGAGCGACCAAGTAGCGGCCACGAAAACAAGCTCGGTAAAACGAAACATTGTGCCTGTACGATTCGGAAAGCAAAGACTCTTGTGAAGCGGGAACCCTTCTCTTTTTCAATGTAGTGACCCGTCAGCTTCAGGGTGTTCGATTTGATGGTAGTCGACGCGGAACGGGCAGCGTGCGGTGGCGGGGGGGCATCAGCCCTTATGAAATACAGGACTTGGCCTCGACCACCTCGTGCGGCCATACCATTGCTAGCGAAAGAGACGCTTCAGGCGAATGAGCAGTGCAAAACGGGTCCGCCAGCATGGCCAGCCTTTGCATGTCAGCCCTCGAAGCATTGAGTAGGCAGCGAATAGGCACGGAGCTAGCATATTGACTCTACAGGGGCCAGCGACCACTGAGCTTCGCGTATGCACGTCTTGTCGGGCGGGAGGGAACGCCTCTAGAGAGGCGGAGCGAATAGTGTCCGGGATGGCCATGCGCATGGCTTTTCTGATTTGCGGAAGCGTGTGATGGCTTTGCAGACCCTCGGCAGTCCGGCCAGGCACCTCTAAGCGCCCAACTACTCCAGAGTCCACATACCCATTTGCAAGCAGCGAGGAAGCTTTCCGGATCGAAGCAAAACCCGGCAACCCGCGCGACTCGGCCGTGATAGTGTGACCACAGCGTGATATAACATCTTGAGCCGCCACAGCTGGGTATCTCTGTTCATGGGAGAAAAGTGCGAAACGCGAGCAGTCGTGGGCGCCGTCAGCTTGCCGCCGTTGGCCCCCAGCGAACGACGATCAACGACCTCGCCGCAATATAATCCCCAGCCGTCATGTATGCGCATGTTTCTATCCTCATATCGCTGCATGACGGCTGCAGCGCGATAGCTGGAGAAGGGTCGTGTGTCGCCGATGCTGATTGGGAGCTTGTTTCTTCGCCCCTGGTCGCTTGGTTGTGTCCGCTGCACCGGGACGAACGAAGCCTTCATATTCGACTAGCTGCTTGAAAACACGCTCATTCTGGGTCCGCATCGTGCCGAGAGTACCAGTACACCATTCGCGCAGTGTGATCCATCATCGGATTCGCTGCTAGTGCCTGTCAGGACGGGGCGAGGCACCGCATTCGTACTTCCCTTGATGGATGTAGAGAAGGAACATCTCTGGGCGCTAGGGTTAGCAGCAAACAAGCATTGCTTTAGCCAAGCGCCATGAGGTTATAGATCGTGTTGGATGCAGGGAGCACTATATTGTCGATCCTGACATCCTGGATGGCGGTTGTACCGGTTGTGCTTGAGGTACGACTATCAAGAATCAAGGTTGGTGTTGTAATCGTTACGGGCGCCTTCCACGAGCACCGAGAGACTGTGGCAGGCTTCCCGGGAATGGGACTTCCTTCCACATCACTCAAGTAATGCTTTCCAACATGATGGTTGTATATGGTATCTTCCTGTCCCCTTTCTGGTTCATCTTGTCACCAACAGTACTGCGTCGATATTCTTCGATGACCGCAGTGTCTATCCAACATCATTACTCAGCTCGGCTTGAACTTTGATCAATACCTAAACACTAGAGCTGCCGATATGATGTCGCTTGACCCCGCACGGAAAAGAAAAGAAGCTCATAACCCGATACAGCTATCTCGTGATAAAGGCAAGGTTCGTGTTATCGAGCGATCAGTAGAAGGATACCCCAGCCGCTCCACGAAGAATCCGCAGGGGCGCAACAGTACCCCTGCTAGCCGTACCTTTACTACACTTCGTCGGGGAAGCATCAAGATCTTCTCCATCTTCCGTAATGGCAAGAGTATGTCACACATACCTATCCTGTACCTCTTGGCTCCTACTAATGGCAGTGCAAGGTTCCACTCCAAGCTCCGGAGAGGCTACATTTGGTAGCACGGGGTCAACGGTGAACAAACAAACCGACGCACTTGCCGATACCGCCAAATCCTACTCTAGTTCTCATCTACAATGTCCTATAGTGCGTGGTGTACCTACGACTTTACCAGCTCTATCCGTAGATCCGGACCCTTCATCCTTACTTCAACTCACAAATGCCGCCGTCTTCGATGGCGAATCAGAACCTATACCAAGAGCTCGCACACCACCTCCTATGCCAATAGCAACAAGTTGGTCGACATCAAGTCTTTCGTGGCAACTCACTTCCAAGCTCTCCAACGCCCTGCTGAACAACGACACGGTGGTACATCGACCCAAGTTGAGCTCCCGGCCAACCGTCAGAACGGATCAGTTCAAGCAGCCGAGCGACGATCAGCAAACTACAACCTCCCCTAGAAGCCCCATGTCCGAGGTTCCTTCTCTTCCATCAAGTGTTCTCAGTCCTGCCAGCAGCGTCGCACCATTGAGTCAGTCGACTGCACCGACTTCACTGGTCTCATCAGGCGCGCCGCTGTCTGCTGAAACATTATATCGAACCCAGAACGGTCGCCATATAACCGACAATTCACCTGCACTCTTTTGCGAGCCCACCTCAGAACACATATCTCCACGGTTTCTTGTCTTCCCGCGTCAAGATGCACCACGACTACGTGAGCCTTCCATTGCCACCATCGAGAATGCAGCAGCGGCAAAAATCTTTTTCGAGTCTCATTTCAACCAACTCCTCGGAACCAAGGTCGCGCCACGATCTATGCGCCGCCGCCAAATGGAGCGCACGCTCTTCACAATGGCCATACCCAACGAGCAGCGTCATTACAAAAAACGAGAATAGTATCTCGCCGAGACACATCATCTCCGCCAAACACGTGTCATGAAGTCAAATACACTAGCGTGTCAGACGATGAAGGGCGTGCACGTCTCTAACTACGACATCGTGAGAGTACTCGGAAAGGGTAGCTTTGGCGTCGTTCGTCTTGTCCGCGAGAAGAGCGATAACTGTGGCAGTCTCAGGGGAAGCAGCTGCAGCATAAGATACCTCGATGGCTCGTTGATACCAAAAGACGATAGGCCTTCGCCGACAATCCGCAAACAAAAGCAAGTCTTCGCCATGAAGGTCATCAGGAAGTCGGATATGCTTCGCAACAGTCAAGAGGGACATTTGCGGGCAGAACGAGATTTCCTAGTTGCTTCAGAGAACTCGCGATGGGTGGTACCTCTCATCTCTGCTTTCCAGGACAATAACAACCTCTACCTCGTCATGGAGTACATGATGGGCGGTGATTTTCTGGGCCTACTTCTCCGCGAAGATATCTTAGACGAGAACGTTGCAAAGTGGTATCTCGCGGAGATGATATTGTGCATCGAGGAAGCACATAAGATGAACTGGATTCATCGCGATGTCAAGCCCGACAACTTCCTCATCACCTCGTCTGGTCATCTCAAGATCTCTGACTTTGGCCTTGCTTTTGATGGACACTGGGCCCATAATCAAACGTACTACAACGAACAACGGTACGGCTTACTCCGCGACTTGGACTTGCATATCAAAGGCGATGCACAAGACGTTGAAGAAGATAAGGACCGGCAGGACGCTCGCAAAACCATGGAGCTTATCAACGGAAGTGCAGCAGCGCGCGGCCGTTATCAGACCAGACAGGACTCCGTGCATGGACCCATCATCGACTGGTTAAACCGAGAAAAAAGGCGTGAATTCGCAAAGAGCGTCGTGGGGACAAGTCAATACATGGCACCAGAGGTTATACGAGGTGAAAGTTACGACGGTCGTTGCGACTGGTGGAGTATTGGTATTATACTATACGAGGTATGTGGCCATGGAAAGCCAGATGTGTCTCCACTGACCGATTCAGTGTCTCTACGGCTGCACACCTTTCTTTTGCGACAATCGCCAAGCTACGAAGGCGCGCATACTCGTGAGTCCGGCTCAAGAGATTGCGTTCTGGTACTGATCTCTATAGGACCATGGGCGGTGGCTGCGATTCCCATCCGAGCAGCGATATGCTCGTCCCAACATTGACCGCGTACCATTGATGCCGGTTTCGCGCAATGCGATCGATCTCATAATGCGACTGCTCGAGGAGAGACAAGATCGACTCTCAGCTAAGCGATACCGTGAGAACGACTGGGCCCTCTGTGACAAAGCTGTTGGTGCGCGCCGCAACCGGAACGTCAACACGACTGGCCATATCGTTTACCCTAATGATGCTGAAGACATCAAGTCGCACTCATTTTTCCGCAATATCCAGTGGTCACAGCTGCATCTGACTCGCCCTCCATTTGTACCTCGCGTTCACGGCGGCCAGCCAATTACCAAGTACTTCGACGATGAGGCTGAGATCATGAGCGCCTCTGATCATCTCGATTCTTCAAGCTACGAGGCTGTCGGAGGATTGTTAGTTCCCGATATAGAAGGTCGTGCTGGTAAGAACGAGACAACGCCCCTAGTCCAGTCGACTGCCCGGCAAAACGGCATCGTCACACCCGCCCAGGCCTTGTTTGCCAAATCATTGCAGGACATGAAGAGGCGCAAGAAAGAGAAGAAGAGGCCACGTGATAAGCTTCTCCGAGATCCAGAGGTTGGCCGTACGGTTTTGGAGCTCAGGAAGAAGGGCGCTTTTGTGGGCTACACATACCGTAGGCCTAGGTTCTCGCTGCCTGACTTGGAGGACAAGATCGCTACCACGAAACCTCAAATCAGCCGGGCTGAAGTAGTTGCTGCGAGTTCCTAGTACTGTATGTACTTCTTGTGCTCCTGTATAGTGTGTAGGGTCTCTTCAATCTGAGATTGGCCAAGCTTTTGAGCTCAGTGACGTGCTCTTTTCATCTCATATTGGCTTTGCTCATTACAATCGTGTAAACGCTTCTCGATAACTGCTAATATGTAATCTCTCTCATCTCCACCGCTGTTGCAGCCTCCTCACTTCGGTTGTAAAGCTCCCTCTGTGGGTATCACTAGCGTTCTTTGGCGCACAGGTGAGATGTATATCTTGCTCATCGTCTTTCAGCAACAACCTTTCCTATACCACACACACGTCTTACAATCTCATTGCCTTTGAAGTACAAGTAATAGATAATTCTTTCTTCTATCCGTCATGATGTTCACCAAAGCCATTCTGGTAGGTATCGCCGCACTTGTCAACATCGCGGTATGTACTGCTCCTAGACAAGACCCTAGCCAGCCGATGGATGCTACCAGCTAAAAGTATAAGCCAAAACTCATTGATAAGCCTCTCCTCAACCCCCCAACCCCCCCGGTTCTGGACTACAGCGAATATCTCGTCAAAGAGCTCCGACACAAGACGACCAACGTAGTCACGATGTGGAACAACAGCTAGATCAACTACGGGTGGAAGAAGATCTCCATTGAGGAGAGTTAAAAGTTCGAGGATATTGAGATGTTCGAGGTCTTGTACGAGGATGTAAGTTCAATGCTCACGGTGATGTCACTCAACGAGGGTCAGCTGACACTCTCACTCGTGCTACGAGACTTCCTGGGTCATGTGTTGACACAAAGACGCTTGGTACCAAGCCAATCTGATGAAGTTTTACATCGGGTTGATTCCAGTCAATGTGCGACAATTCGACCGCCACTTCATTGCTCTTCCAGCAGATGATAAAGGTGGACCGGATACCTAAAACGATTACGACAGCGTTGTCTTCAAGGGCCAGGCTAGCCTTCACGGCATCATTGCCAACTCGGCAAAGTCGATGGGAAAGTCCATAGGTGAAGGTTGGCCAGTCTGGGACGCCACTTGATGGCGAGACTTCATCGACGCTAACGCAACAGCGGTGATGAACCCAACCTCTCAAATCTCCTTGAAGGAGTGTTTCGCTCAAACCACCGTCCTTGCCATTGTATATTTTTAGTCATCAGGTAACTGGCAGGATCGCGTACCTGAGTTCAACAAGATTGCAGTCTTAGTTTAGAAACATCAAATAAGGAACGGCTTGCTGTTTTTAGTTCAGCAGTAGACTTTCCGTACTAACCAGTTGTTGGAAGACAGTCCCGTAGGCCCGACACACCAGCTGCCTGATGCCGAGGTTTAAGGGGAGGATATGGTTCCAACGGTAGTGGTTGGAGAACATGACTTGGGCGATATGAGAAGTTAAAGCTGGCTTTGGGGAAAACGGATTCTTCGTGCTCCGGGGGGAATAGGACAATCTTTCCGAATCCTCTCAATATCACCAGCCAACATGTCTCCTTCCTTTCCACTATTTGTTTCCCTTCGTTACACCCATCCCACAGTCTGAGCCCCGCTTCGTATTCCTCAAATACCGCCCGAACACTGCGTATCCGACACCCACTATAATAAGAAATGCTACGACGCCCATCGATACACCTATTCCAATCGATGCTGTTACACTTAGACTGGGTTTAGATTGTAACGTAGAAGAAGTTACTACGGTGGATACAGGTGATGCTGAGTCGGACACAGATGATGCAATAGTCGTTCGAAGAGTCGAGGTTGTTGAGGGAATAAAAGCGCGTGATAGCACTGACGACTTCCCTTCGTCTTCAGTAGGGGTACTGAGGGCTGTCGGTTCTACGACGGTTGAAGTAGGTGATGGGGCGTTAAATAATATCAGAGCTGCGCTTTCGATCATCGTCTCTACCACTTCAGGTGAATGAGTCATAACTTCCGAAGAAGTCTCCGCTTCAACTATACTGGTGAACACTTTCACAGTGGTGATGAAAGTTATCGCAGGGTCCATCGATATGGCTATCGGAGTATCACCACCAGTTTTTGTAGACGTAGACATGGCCACAAAGAGAGCTCGCTAGTGCGCGATTATGTGTCTGTATGAGGGATAGTGGGCGAAACGAACTGATGCTTACATTGTGTAGGACTGTTGGGACGTATTAGTTCCTGCATACTTGAGTGCTTGCTTGGGAAACGGAATGGGACAAGTCATCTGGAAGTTAGTGTGGCAAGAGAATGTGTTGGCATGGACTTCAATGTTTGTTGGGGTCGCGTAGTGGTGAGTCTTTCGTTTGCCGGGGACTGTTTCCTGTGTCACAGAGCACGAGGATTGCATTTTACTACTGTAAATCCCGAAATAGGTAGAAGAATATCACTCTTGGATGCGGCCAAGTACGAGGTCGTGAAAGCGATGGTTTGGGACATAGGGGCATCTAGAGTATGGGAATCATGGCTAGGTAGCTACGTCTCTTACACTAGCTTTTGCTAATGGATATGAAACTTGAACATAGTCGGAATCAAGTTTGCAGAAAATTTTGTGGAAATGCAGTCTTGGGCAGTTCGTCCGGGTGGTGCAGCGGGCTCGGTGTGTGGAGGTCCGACCACCCGTGGACCGAACTCGCGATTGCGGATGTCACAACCCTCACAACATCCGAACTTCGCATTCATTGACTGTTTTTTTTTGAAGATATTTCTCTACCTATACCCCGCAGGTGTCATAATAAACTTACACAATGTCAGCCACAAATGACCTTACAAATCTTGCGACCCCGCCATCGTGCATCGCAGACTTTTGTCTGATCCCTCTCGGCACCCCCACAGCATCTGTATCCAAAGAAGTCGCCGAAGTGCAGCGGGTCCTCAAGAGGAGCGGATTAACTTATTCGATGCATTCCGCGGGGACGACAGTTGGTATGACTCTTCTCACATCCCTTCTACATGTTGGATGGTCTTGTGTCCGAGCCAACTCTCTTCTCGGCCGGTATGCGGGTGTGGTGGCTTGGAGGGGTATATGAAGTATTCTTGGATGCATATACTAATTGGGGTTAGAGGGCTCCTGGGACGACGTTATGCGGGTTATTGGACAATGCCATGCTATGCTGCATCAGAATGGCATTGTGAGGATCCAGAGTGATATCAGGGTGGGGAGCAGGACGGACAAGAAGCAAGGATTCAAGGATAAGGTCGAGGCTGTGGAGAAGTTGCTAAAGGAGGATCAAGGCGCAGCGATGTAATGGGCCGAGTATCATGATGCGCGTGACAGGAGGAATGAGGTGTCTCAGTTGCCATGTCATCCACGTGTACCAACCACCCTTTACGATAACGACAACGGATGCGCATGAAAACAAATTTCGCGACTACAGATGATGTACCCGCGCACACGGCAGATGTGCCAGCCAAAGCTCGGATGATGATTCAAACAATCGGCCTCTGCTGTTATTGGTTACTTTTTAATCGACGTCGCGGAGATGCTGGGGTAGCTGGGCTATAGCGATAATGGGGAAATTAGTACACGACAGCTAAAACGACAGCGGATAGAAGCATAATATGTTGACATGTGGCTAGGTGTAGGGCTTTTTGAAACTGTCGATCGAGAATGTAGACGTCGCAGCGAATCATCGGCGACGGGATGCTAGTCTCTAACGTATACGTGCATACAACGGCTCCAGGCTCTTCACCGCCAGTCGCGGTATTCAGGTAGACTAAGCCGATCTGAGGCTCGGTGGTTGAAGGCGCACGGCCGAAGTGCTGTTGTGTAAAAAGTTGGCGGCAGCCGAGAAGCATCATCCTTGACGTCGGTACCTTTCACCCGGAAAATCCCCTCGAGTGCCGCATGTGCTCTCCCACTCTCACTCCACCACGACTGCAGCCATACAATACCGCGCCCACACCGCCTGAAATATTCATTGCCCACCAGCTTCCCCACCCATTCCATCCGAAACACGCCCTCAACCCCTCCCGAATTGTGCCTCGTGTGATCGCATGGCGAATGCACGCGACAGCAGCATCATCTGCCAATCCCCACCACCCGCGCGGTAACGACGTCGACGCTCAACGCATCGCTCACTGAGCGCACCAACCCATCACCATGGCTTTCAACTTCAACTGGTCGCCGCTGATAGCCGACACGTCGAGGGCGCGCGATATGCTGACGACTGCCCTGAACAAATCGCCCAAGCCGCCCATCATCGTCGACGACATCATCGTCACCGAGTTGAATCTAGGCACTACCCCGCCAGAGCTCGAGATACTAGAGATTGGTGACTTGGCCGAGGATAGGTTCAGGGGCATATTCAAGATGTCGTATGCTGGGGACGCGTTTCTGACGCTGAAAACAAAAGTTCAGGCAAATCCGTTGAAGACATATCTCTCCAACAAGCCAGACTTTGCTTCACCACAGCCACTGGCAGCATCCTCGGGCTTGACCATACCATTGCAAATCACTCTGTCCAACATCCGGTTATCCGGTTTTGTCATTTTGGTTTTCTCTAAACAAAAGGGCTTGACGCTGGTCTTCAGGAACGATCCTCTCGAGTCACTAAAAGTCTCTTCCACATTTGATTCCATCCCGTTTGTGCGCGACTATCTGCAGAAGGAGATTGAGGGGCAGTTGCGTGTGTTGTTCATGGAAGATCTGCCAGCTATCATTCACAGGTTGTCACTACGCATGCTATCGCCCGAGTACCAAGAGATCGAAACAGAAGAGCGGCTAGAAGGCGCCAACGACACCACCGCAGCCATTGACCCTCTCGCATCGCCACCACAGGACGCCGTTGATGCCTTTGGCAACCCACTGGACGAAGCCCAAATCTCTGCGTTGTCGCTCGACTCTGGCGAGATCCACGCCTCCTTCTCCCAGAAGAACATCCTCCGCCTAGCCGCCCTCTCCGAATCGCAACGAACACTATCCCTCTTTACACCCGGCATACGCGATGCCGTCTTCCGAGCATGGGCAGGTCATCCAGACAGGCCCGAGTCTGGTGCTGCTACACCAGCCCTCACACAAGGCAGTCTGTCGAGAATACAGTCGACGTTTGGCAGCCTCAAGTCTGGCGCATCATCAGTTGCATCTGGCAGCACAGGCAACGATACACATAGCTCACGACCTACCATGGCATCGGCATACTCGACTTCTGCGGGGCTCAGTCTTGGCTCAAGTCGTTCTCGCACTGGTGGCATGCGGAAACGGAAGAAGCGTGTTGTTGATCTACGCAAGAAGGAGGGCGTTGACTCTGGCGTATCGACTGGAGCCAACACACCGTTAGAAAGCGCCTACGCATCCGAGACATCGAGTGTCATCCCCGAACAGAGGGAAGCAGAGGAGGAACTGGCTACCCCACCAAGGAGCCCCGCACAACCTGGGATGCGCTTCGAGAGCAGACGCGGCAGTCTGGACATTGGTACACCGAAACGGATACCTGAAGAGCCACCTGCGTTTGGCCCTCTTCTCGCTCCTGCGCCGGATTTCTCTGACGCACCCAAGCCACCCAAGTCCACCAAATCGAAACAAACAACCCCGCCAGCCGTTCACCTCGAAGACCCATTCGTATCCCACACGTCTTCCAGACGCCCGCCGATCTCGCGTAACAGACTACGACAAGCACAGCAGTCCACGTCGCCGCTCCTACGCTCCTTGTCCTTTGACAAAGTCTCGTCGCTCTCGGCTCTCTGCTCGCCACCGCGCACATCGTCACCACCCAACGCTGACGTCATCTCCGGTGGTATTCTCGAACAAGCCTGGATGACAAAGATGGCGCAGGAGATTGCGAGGAAGGTTCAAGAGGAAAAGGACCGGTCGTCTCGTCGGCCTTCGCATGCAAGGACCAAGACTGCGCCCACAGGAGGTTTCTGGCAAAGTGACGATGAGATTGAAGCGCCGCCTGCTTACGTTGCGTAAATTTTGAGAGGAAAAGTGATGAAGTTATGAGCGATGAAGTTTTCATGACGAAGCGCCGTTTAGTTCTTGCATGTTATTTGTCCATCATTTGTTGTTTCTTTTGTTTTCACTTGTTAGCATTGGCGTATCAGGACTGGGAAAAGCTCGTTGCATTAGGTCAACTTGAGTAAGACTGCTTGCACATATTAGGGGTTGCATGGAATGGAGGAGAAAGGAAGAAGCGAGTGCGATACTATCGCCGCATTACATATCAGACTACTAATCTCCTTGCTACCGCGATGACAATTATGTCGTTGCGAAGAGTACATATTGAATTACCACTACTCACCTTACTACAACTCCCATATGCTGTGTGATATCAGACTACTATCTTTTGAACATCGTGGCTACCATGATCGTCCTGTTGTCTTCAGCGCAATATTCTGTTTCACTTTCACCCTTCAACATATAATGTAGGCATTTAACGGTCTTTCGAATCAACACACTTAGTGGATTTATTGACTTGTATATGCATCTAGATTCAATATATCAAGGTCCTGGAACGGGAATAGCACCAATTTGAACCATCAACCCAAAGATATCCGGCTGCCCTCTTTCCTCCACAATCTTGCCATGCTCAAAACGGTAGATATTGAGGGCAGTCATGCAAATCTTCTTCCCCGACGCGGGGATACCCATAAAAGGCCCTTGGTGTGTACCCCGAGTTTCAAACCGTGCTACTATCTTATCGCCTTCGCATATGGTTTCTTGCAATGTCCAATTGATGTCTGGAAATGCGCTGCGCATCATTCCGAGAATTTGAAGATAGCCATCGAGACCTTTGAGGGGCTCAGGACCGAATGGGACGTGGAAAATAGCTGAATCTGATACGACTTCTCGGCCGATATCTGTGTTGCCTGAGTTGATGAACTCGGTGAAGCGATGGAGGCTTGGTAGTAGATTGGAAGACATGATCTACAGCGATGAGTTTAGAGGTGGTAACGGCATGCAGGAGTTCACGGGACTATACCTTATATTGGTGTGATTATAAGGTGAGTTTGAGCAGGCTTCTTGTGGTACAATAGGATTCCTTGGGCGGTTGTACAGAAAGTGTGAAATTAGAGTAATAATTCCGGGATATAACTACCGCAGCTATGATGATATTGTAGGTTGTCGTGAAGTGTACGTCTATTAAGTGTCTTAGTAGTGATGGGGCATGAGTGGATGTAGGTCAATCAGTCTAACAGCAACGTAGATGTTTACTCGCGACTGAGTGATTAGCAATTGCTTATGAACTTATTACTCACCTGGTTACTTACCTTTAGTGCCTACCAAATAATTAATTACCACCGGGTGTTCTCAAATGCTATGGGTTTCAACTGGGAAGGTTATCCTTAAAGCGCCACGTACTGCCGCGCCAAGCCGAGCCGAGCCGAGCCGTATGCTGCTGAGAGGAACACATGAGAGCGATGCAATCCTCCAAGCACATTGTACGTTGTTCGGACTTATCGAGCCTTGTAGAATTCGTAACATTATACTGTATAGGTCAAGATTTGTGCAAAGGGTTGTTGTCGTGGGATCATATCAGCTATGTGCGCCTACTGAGCGGGAGTGCCTGGGTACGGCTTGGCAGGCACTCCCCAGCCACAGCTTTGGCTCAAAGCTCGACGTGGCTGAATGACGTTGAGTCGCATGTAGTCCATGATCATTCGTACGTGCCAACGATATTTTGGGACCTGCTGGGCTGACAGGTACCAGCAGGAGTGGAGACGTTACATATATCAGTTTTGTACCGCCGCCGTAGGGCTAAGTACAGCTTACAGGATTGTCAGTAAGGCAAGAAGGTCCCAAGGTTGTTTCTACTAGAAGTGATGCAGTCTGAGCTGTTGAAGTATTGCCTACAACCACAGGAAGTGATGATTACTAGGACAGCAGTAACTTCACAACTATGGTGTGCCAGAGTCTCATACGTCCCAAAAAGGCTGCACATATGGAGAAGGCTGCCCCAAACAGTCTTGTATTAGCACATCTGGATATCCTTGATGTTCTTGAACTGTTTAATCGTACTCCTCTCTTCCTAGGTTGCTCGCTAGATGGTACTGTCCCCGCTACCGGTCAAACATGGCCAAAAAATTGCGCCGCTCCACCACGAGTAATTACACCAAACGCGAGTTCCAATTCGATTGATGTTCTCTTAGTCTGAGTCCCCATAGGCAGCAAAAAAGAAGGGATGCGCTCTTGCGAACGCCGATGAATGACTCATCGGAGGTTTGAACTCCGGACCTTCAGTGTACTAAGGAGTGCTGTAAAGCGCTCTGTTAGACTGACGTGATAACCAACTACACCAACGAGCCCGATTTGATGGAGTAAGAACAAAATTTGATATTCATATTCTTAGAAACAAAACCTCACATGACTGACGTTGAGAAAATCGTGATGGCTCATGCGACATTCTTGGCATCAAAGTTGATCTTCGAGCTGAAAAGCTAAAGATTTTGCGGTCGGGGTGGAGAAATACATGTCACTGACTTCATGTGGTTGGGTCAGGGGCTGGCACTGCACAACTCCATCCATCGCTTTACCTGGCCGACAAGAACACCAAAATGACATCAAATACCATGATGATCACCATGTTTTATCACATTTGAGGATCATTTGGACAATGCTTTGATCCTGCTAGGAGCAACCTTGAAATGTCCGCTCATGCCTTCGGCCCGACACTAAGCAATACCCGATGCCAACATTGCCGTCCCCGCGTTTTTTCAAGTGCCCACAATTCCCGCCCGACAGCTTCAAACACCGACACGACCTATTGCTTCGAGATGAGGCATGGAAGCAAATGCCCCACAACAGCCTGCTGGCGCGCAGGCATCCGCCAACCAGGATGAAGATGAAGCTTCGAAGATCAAGAGAACACAGATTGCATGTCTAAACTGCAGGAAGAGGAAGAGTCGGTGTTTGCTGTAAGTGATTGACGGCCTCTTGTTTGTTTGCGCGCGTCGGCGATATGGAGCTCGCTTGGTGATTGAAGTTTGCGCGTGGACATTGTCGAACGCGGCATGCAGCGGTTTCGATGCGACACAGACATATGCTTGAATTCTTGCACATTCTATGTGAGATCTAACGTGGCTTTGCAGAGACTCCGACAATTCTATACCATGCCTCCGATGCAAACGCGACAACCTCGAATGCGTGCTAGGTGGCAGCAATCGCGGCGGACGGCGAGAGCGAAAGAAGAAACGCGTGTATGAATCGCAGTCGCAATTAGAGCCGCAAACACAGCAACCATTACCAGCGCTGACTGCGACTGCCCCCGAAGGAAGCTTCCATACGCTGGGCAATCTCGGTACTACATGGTCGCAAGACCCAGGAGTACAGCCATTCGGTGAAGAGCTCCAAGAATCGCGGTCCGGCTCCTCGAATACAGACGAGCTTCCTTTCTCAAATCTGCAAAATCCGTCAGATGCACTGGGCATACTGGCGCGGGTTGCTGGTGAGTCCAGCTCAAATGAAGAAAACAATGCAACAGGCATTACCAGCGGCATAGGTCATGTACCAGGCTCTTCCCTCAGCATGCCTGCGCCTCTATCCTTCTCATACCCGTTGTTGGACAGAGGGATACTCACAGTTCACTCTCTATGCCAGCTGCTTGTTCGCTTTCAGCAGCAATACCATTCGTACTACCCGCTCGCACCAGCACACGCATTCGAAACGTCCCGTCTATCAGACATGGTGAACAACGAGAAACACCTCCTCACAGCTATCCTCCTCATCGCTTCCAAAGATCTAGTCGACGAACCACACATATACGAAGCTTGCTCAGAACACATGAAGAGCCTTGTCTCTACGTTGGCAGCAGGAGGCGACGCCGGCATCGAAGCAGTAGAAGCTCTACTACTGCTAGCTGAGTGGGCGCCGTATACGCAGCGCGGCTCCGGCAAGGTCGGCAAGGGAGAGGAAGACAAAGAGAGTTGGATGCATGTTGGTCTCGCTCTGAGGATTGCGTACTTTCTCGCTCTCGATCGGTACTCGTTCCGTTTCGTGGATCAGGGCAAGGATCCCGATCATCATCGTAAGCGTCTCATTTGGACAGCGGCTTATGTATCAGACCGCCACATCAGCATCAGAATCGGGAAAGCATTTTGGTCTCGAGGTCCTGGGCCTCTAACGACATTGCGAAGAGAGGATTACCCATCGTTGATCCCTAAAAGTCCGAACGAAGAGGACCATGCCTCCATTTTCCAGGCGAATCTCGAACTTACACAACTGTTCAGCAATGTACACGATACATTGTACTCGAATCCGAGTTCGAGCTTCCGGTCGCAAATGAGTGGTAGCTACATCAAGTTTATTGACGACTTCCGCTCGGCGATATACGGCTGGAAGAGCGTATGGGGTACATTGACGTGCTCTCCGCCACTCAAAGCATGTCTACTCATGTCATACGACTATCTACGTCTATACACCAACGCCTTCGCCTTCCAAGCCACCGTTCTTCGAGCGCTCCCCTCTTCATCTACATCTGCAGACCCCGTAGTCGGTACTCCTAATACCACAATGGGTCGCATGCAAGTCCCCCAGCGCGTCTTTGTAAACAATGTCGGGGCAGTCGGCGACGCACGATTCATCTACGAGGGTCTCGACGCCGCAAAAGCCATCCTCACTACAGTCAACAACTTTGTCGATCCTGAGCGCTCGCTACGTTTCATGCCATTGAGATACTATCTCTATCTCGTGTACGCCGGTGTCTTCCTCTACCGTGCCCGCTGCACAGGCGTCATCAGTGCAGACGAAGACCGCGCTATCCGCGCTATGATCAATGAAACAGTCGCACGCCTCGAACGCAGCGCCGTAGGAGTTGGAGCTGGCATTCAGCACCCGGGCTCTCGCTATTCTCAGCTTCTCAAACTGCTCTGGGCAAAGGTGCCGAAGAAGGACAAGGCTAGTCGCTCTTCGTTCCGCCACCCCGGCACGCATATCGCTAGTAATCCTGTTGATCAGAATGGCTTTCCACAGCATCCGATCGTTGGCGCTAGTCCGCAGGCAAGCAGCAATGGAACCGGTGAGAGCCCGGCTCTGACAGAGCAGATGGGGGATTTCGGTTGGACTGATTTGGGTGCTGTGAATGAGTTCGCCGTACATGGTGGTGGCGGTAATGCGCCCACGGATGATGCGGCGTTGTGGAACGGCTTCCTGCCTCTGGATATGGGATGGAATGCCCAGGGTCTTGGTTTTGAGGGCATGGGCCTTGACTCTAATGAGCTTGGAATGCTATTTTAGGTCAGTGGTGTCTGGTACTTGATGGCCAAGAAGAGATATAGCAAACGTCAGAGATGTTCCGAGGTTGCTAATTGACTGGCTCCAGTTTGGAGCATTAACTAATCACTTTTGTAATTGAGACGTCCACTGTTCTTATCGTTTTCTTCAGACTTTCGCATAATTCTCGCTGTTCAAAACACCCTATTGTTTGGACCAAGCTCATCGTCCCATATGTGCGAGGCCTTGACCCTAACACAGCCTTCGACTGTCACTCTTCACTACATTCCGTTAAGCAAGAGGCGAGAAGGAATTTTCCAGCGAAAGTCATCAGACCGATTGGAATTGTCTGACACATCAGTGAGAGACTATGAGCGTGATATGGGGTCGTTTATCGTTCTGTACTCCACTGCGGAAGCTGTGACATCTTGCCTATTAAAGTATCAGCTGCCAGTCCACCAATCACTGGATCTGGTCTTTAAGACAGCCCCTACTGTAGAGATTCTAATCAACAGTCCTCCTTTGTCAAATGTCGATGCAGGTAAATGTTTTCACTCAAGGAGTACAAGATTCCTAATGCAGATTTGAGGAGTATGCATTGCCTTCTTTCCATAGCGCCGTATCTGATGCAAATTGTATGATAATACATGGTATACACGCACGCGACCGTCGTTCCCGGTAAGGTCCATCTAGAAACCGGGAGGATTGAGTCGTTGACTGACTCTTGTCCACTTTGGCACCTCTGTAAAACGTCAGCCACTGCAGTATTTCCAGAGTTCGCAATGCTCTGTCTGCCGCAACAATGACATATCGCCGTGCGCTAGAACTATGCGACTTACTATGTATGCCCTTCCGATACCTCTTCACCTTGCGATCGAAGACGGTATATTTGTCTTTGGGTAGCATCTCCTGCTCAGTCGGCATCTCCATCTTCCAGCGCTCCACCTTCTTCATGCTTTGTCCCATGCGTCGTAGTGCGGTATCGAGTGTGCCGACCACGGTGTCGACGTGCCGTAGGCGCTCGCGATGCCTGTACTTCTGATGTCTGGAGAGTCGCCATGGTATCTTCCTGTGGTCTTGTCAGCATGAATGTCTAGGTGTCGAGCCGCCGATAGTAGAGAGTGAATTGGAGCGGAAAATATGCCGGCAAGAATGAGCAATTGCACGAATGGGACGTCCAGGGAAATGAGAATAGGGAGTCGCACCATAGTAGACCACCCGACAGCGGGTTTGTGAGGCGGAAAGGACCAAACATGGTGATATGTTGTGGTTGGCGATGCTGGGTCGCCGCAGTCGAGGTCGCGATATTCTTCCAAAGACACTCCCGCGGACTTTCTTGGCGGACATGCCGATTAGCGTGGGGAAGCTCATCGACACCCCACACATTGCACAGCTAAACCCCAAACCATTCCTGCGGCTATACGGGATACGGCTCCTGGCACCTTCATTTTCGACATTCGTAAGAGCTGGGAATACTGTAACGATCCAAGTCGGCCATCGTCGCCCGTAGCCATACAACACACGTCCAACACTCCCTACACATACCTACATCCTAATACTTCACCATGTCGTACACATTCTCCATACTGTCGCCCCTCGATGTCCCTCTATTCACGCATGACTTTGGCACCTCACGCAGCGGTGGCACGGGCGTTGCGAATTACACACCCGCCGAACGCGCGCTCGTTCCATTCATCTTACACTCCTCACTCGACATAGTCGAAGAAGTACAATGGGGCCCTTCCACATCCAGCGGCTCAGCGCCCATGTATCTCAAGCACATCGATAAATACCAGAACTGCTTTGTGTCGTGCTGGATCACTGGCGGCAACACACGCTTCCTTCTGCTCACAAGACCACGGGACGAAAGTCTAGGACTGACAAGTGGAGGTGCTGGGGGCGCGAGAGGGAGTCTAGCGGGTGGAAGAGCTGCATTGGGAGGAGGCGCTGGTCTATATAATCCCAGTAGTCCAGCCACGGAAGAGGCAGTCAAGAACTTTATGGTCGACGTATACGAGGCTTGGGTCAAGACTATCATGAATCCGTTCTTTGCGGTGGGCAACGGGGAGGTTATCAAGAGTCCGGTCTTCAGGCAAAGGGTTGCAACTGCGGCAAAAAAGTATCTATGAAGGGAATGAAGGCATCACCGAACAACTGACTCAAGTTTGGAGACAATCATAGGCGCGAGGGCTCATTTCCTACCTCGGAACAAGGCGGCCGGCACAAACGCAAGCTCGACCCGCCGCAACCCCGATGCTCAATTGTCTTACATTGACTTGGTAGCTGAGTAAATCCGAGAGAATGACGTAAAGAAATGAAGCAACAAGATGTCGCGGCTGGATTTCTACGTACGGAGTGCGCGAGCACATACCTAATGACCAGCTGTAAAGCTATCAGGAAACATATTGATTGTTGCAGTGGAGAGTTAGACGATCCATGTTACCCAACTGTGGGCGTTGGGGCATACACATGCAATCAGACCAGCATTTTACGATGAAGCTCATGTCGAGGAGGCTCATCAAGCTTCGTTATGGATCGTATCTGATGAGGATTTCCAATTCCCAAATGTAGTACACTGGGTTACGAACAGCTACTTGAAGAAATGTGAATGCTTGTCGTTTGTGTCTCAGTCTATTTACCCATTTCTCGAACCACTCCACCTGCCATTCTAAGACACAGACATGGAAGCCCCCACTGACTTACTTACGTATCGTCAAATTTGTGGTCACTATGAGTTTACCTTTACCTGCCTTTCTTCTAGAAACGCGCGAATTTCTAACTCACCTTCACCTCGTCTTCCCCCCACTTTACGTATCACCACTGCATCTATCCAACTTCTTCCGACCACGAAGAACTCTCTTACCTCACCTTTACTGAATATCTCTATCCCGACTTGAACACAATGGAACGCTCAAGATGACCCCAAAACAAACCAACGTCGAACCATCGGATGAGCCGTGGCTTGCCTTGCGACGAAGACACGACACTGAACTCAACAATCTCCAACTACAAGCTAGAAATTTGTACGAACAATTCCAACAGAATGCAAACAAGGCGAAAGCGGATCTTCTCGCCAAACATAAGAAGGAAGAGGAAGAGTTCTGGAGTAAGGCGAAGGCGGCAGGCAAGGACAAGAACAAGAGTGGAAATAGTTCTGTAGTGTTCAAGGCGGGTGTTCAGGGTCAAGTCAATCGTCGGGTAGTCGCACTACCACCTCCAAACCCTACTCCTGAAGTCAGACAGACACCAGCAGCAATCTCAAGAGCGCCACAGACACCTACGTCAGCATATAACACAACGACCCTAGCACGCCAAAACAGGAAAAACAGCGCCGCCGTCACGATTATCGATCTTTGCTCCGACGATGATGAACTAGTACAAGAGCAGAAGAAGCCAGGCCTACCGCCAGTTACGAATGATATCACGTTGAGTTCGCACTCGAGCAAAAACATCGAGCCAGCTGGCAGGCGTGAGTATTCAATTTCGTCTGCAAGTTTCGAGTTGTTTGGAAGAAGCGCAAACCGAGTAAGTTAGCAACAAGCAAAGCCATCTCCATGTTAATATTAATAGAATCAGGGCGTGCCAGAGTCATCACAGTTCAAGCGTGAACATAGCGTATCTACTCAACAGTTCCCACAACCATCTACACCATTGCCCACCACCTCAAATCGTGGTTCGACAACTGCCTTTCCGACACAGCAGAGCTCGACATCTAAGGGGGATGGCTTCGGCGATTGGGCTTCAGCGGGTACGTTCCGCATGCCAGCTGCTCAGGCACAAGACTCTCGTCAGGGAAGTGCTTCGGCTTTCGGTACCATACCAGCATCAGCCACTTCTACGTGGGCTGCTCCTACGATATCTGCTTCACAGGACTTACGGTTGTTGATCGACTTTGCTCCTTCAAGGCTTTCCGGCTGTCAGCTAAGCCAGTCGTCAATAGCCCAAGGATCAACTTTGCACGGGCGTCCACTGGACTACGGTGGTACCTCGAACGGCTCAATTGCAATATCACAAGACAGACACATTCCCGAAATGCTTCCATCGCCATCACCGTCCCCTCCCACCCTAATCATAGAGCCATTTACTCCCACCATTCCCGGCTTCAGGAGACCTGTCCTTCCGGCCAGCGCCACGAAAGACAGCATACCGGCTGCAAGGAATGTTCGTGCTGGCTCACAAGCCACAGCTTCGACATATCGTGCCTCTAGCATCACACAGAATCAACCTGATTCATCTGTCACATCTCGAACGTCTGTGTCTTCGCACTCAAGTGTGGCGAGAGGCAAGCGAAAGGTAGTCGACTTAAGTAGCGACGAGGAGAGCGACTATTCCCCACCATCTGATGAAGATGATGAGCCTAAGTTTCCTATGACTACGGATGAGGTGTGCAATAGTACAAAGAGTAACACGAAGAAGCCTGGCCCGACGGCAAAGAAGGCTAAACTGCCTCCACCGCTACCGCCAGCTATAGCCTCAAAAAGTGTGTTCAGCAAGGGAAAGAACGGCTTTGGCTTCCAGCCCACGTCGAAACCGAAATCCAACCAAGCAGCGTTCTCGTTACCAAACCCACCGCCCCGTGCGCCGGTCAAGAAGCCTCAATCATCTGCATCATCTACACCAGCTACACGAACACCTGCTTTCAACAAGTCCACGAAGCCTGCAGCCACTACACGAGCAGTTTCAGTCTCACGCTCCGCCCGCAAAGCCAAACTCGACGCCTCAGCAAAGATCTCCTAACTTAGCGAAGCCGACTTGGAAGCCCGCACCAACATCGCCATTGACGAAGCAAATGAGTACGAGGCGCCTGAAGCCGGTGTTGTTGAGCAAGTCAGAGGCAGCTTGCGAAGCATGTCCATTACTCCGGCACCTAGCACTGCCGAAGACCACGTGAACGCTACAGAAGACGTGGAGATACTAGCCGTCGTTTCAGACTCTGGGAGCACCATAGCGGTACAAAGCACGAAACACGGTGCGGGGTGGAACTCATGGACTCACCGTCGCGCCAACGGCGATAGGAACCTCGCCAAATCACGTTCCAGTCGACCGCTAGTGCGGGATGACGAAGAAGATGACGACTATGAAGATCCGGATATCAGTAAGTACAGCATCATCGACGGCACGATTGTGCATGAGGCGGATCTAGAAAGAACGAGACTGACGCAAGAGCAGGACAGGCGGAATCATATGATATCAAGAGAGACGGACAGTGGCGGTCGCACACGCAGTGAGCGTGGTTGAGATACCGAGGCATAGTCCTATAGGGCGGAGTGAGAGAACCACAACGAGGACATATTGGAGGAACAGAGGTTAGCGTTGAAACCATTTGAGCTTCGCAGGTACTTCATGCACAAGACGAGAAACATGAACATTCCATTCTTTGCTTACTCCCTCGAGTCGCCGTGGGCTCTAGAGTGTGGACTAATCTGGAATCTTATTGTTCGTCCAATAATTAGAAATCTTATCTCTTTACAAGAGGCCGATCATCAGCTGCAACGCGCGTGAACATCGGCGTCGGGAAAACATACTAACTCCGGCAACCGTTCACGCACCTCATTCTCCACTCGCTCGGCCTCTAACCACCTAGCAGCTACGCTGAAGCGCCGAACTTGAGAGCATACTGTGTCGCGTGCCTTTGCGACGTCATGTTCCCATCACGCAAAATCCTCTTACATTTCGTCATGGGCGTTTACAACGGTTCTTTCTTTCTACTTTTCTAATACGCAAGATCTGCAAACGAGGCGGCCATCTCGTCGCGTCCAAAACTTTCCCCTCTAATATACGAAGCTTGCGCCCCGCAATAACCTAATGAGAGACTCGACTAGCTCTTAGCTCACGAACCAGCCTCGTGAATGGCTTGACGCGTATAGGAAGATGCGATCCAATCGCAAATACGAAAACTATTTCCGGAAGAAAACTAATACCGAAAGTAAGCGTTGTAAAAACGGCGCGGTGCTAATTGTCAACGGTCTGTCGCGTTCGCGCCAAACGTTAAATGAACAGGTATGTTAGTGCTAGTTTGTGGCTTTGGTACTGTGATTGGCTGGCTTTGGTAGCCCGAAGCTATATGTGATTAGTATTAGCTGGCTTGATCTGCTTAGTTAGTCCGAGTCTTGGGAGTTCGGTTCTTCTCATGGAGTGGTGTGGTGTCGGCTTGCCGCGGAGTAGTTCGATGATGTAGGTGGATGGTAATGTCATGCGAGAAAACGGTGGAAGTTACCGCAGACAACCAAATAATCAGGTAGAGAAAGCAGGGTGAGACTGGAGAAAAGCATGTGTTTCACACCACCTTAGGTGCCTTAGAAGTCATTGCGAAGAGATGGGATACATGTCATCTTCCATCTCTGTATTAGTTTTGTCAAAGGAACTAGGCTAATCCCGTATGCTATCAACTCACCTCCAAGCTCCATCGCTGCAACTTCGGAGAATTTTTCTTGCTTTGTAGAGGCACTGGGGGCCTTCTGTCAGACTAGGACCAGTTTGCAAGTTCGGTTTGGCTTTCCGCGCGTACTTCGTCTCGCGGGCCACACAATTTTGCGGACCCCAACCAGTTGACGCCAACGCCAACGTCCGCTACCACCATCTGACCCGCAATCAGCCTATACTACCACACCCAACACTGTCGCGTTGCACAACATTGCGTTGCACCCCCTGATCTTGACTACCCTGTCCTGCCCCCCTTCTTACCCACTCGAAAAGCAATTAATCCATGTTCTTGCAACGTCGGTAGTCAGGCACCAGGCACATAACGCGTCAACATGAGTGGTATTCAGCCACGCGAGACCAGGCACTCCCGGCTTGTCACCTGTCCGGCTGACGCTTTTGCGAACGTATGGGGGAGGGATACCCCTTTGACAAGTCAAGTAGACCGAAAAACACCCCCCTCGAGGTCATAATTTTCATCTCGGACAATATCATGTTGCGATCGCATGGAAGGGCTTGCGTGCCGTGCCGCTGTAAGTTAATCGTGAGTGGCTGATGAGCCGTTCATGTGGGCTCTCCTTTACGTTCGGCGCTTTGGAAGGATCGCAGGCGAACTGGTCAGGTGTCTGGATTTGGGATGCATGCTCCGAGGTTTTCTTGATACACCACGCCTGTTGCATAATGAGTAATTTAATCTCAAGTTTTACCGGACTGTGGAACACGATCCCACAAAGTCACTTGATAACGGGCTGCATGTTTGTTTTTGAAGTGTGTCTATTATATGTCCAGGGTCGTTACAACTAGCCCATCTACCGAATACTAACAAAACAAGCGCAATATAAACATATTCCGAAGACACAATCATAACTAACAAGACACCTTCCTCATGCCATAAACAGCGTCCTGAGTCATGCTTTTCAATGCTTCCATACCTCTTTTTACCACAAGCGCCTGAGCCCGTTGGCTCCAAATATTACCGATCAATAGGCTATAAACAAAGATGATAAGGGGGACCGAAAGCCGACCGAGCATGTCGCAAGAGATCATAACTTGCAGACGGGTATCAAAGGCACTTCTGGAGTGCTATAGACGGTGGTGGGTGGTCGAAATGTATCGAAAAGAGAGAAACAGTCATCGGCAGATGGACAACGACAGCCTGAACCCCAATACAGCCATGATGAAACATGGATGTAAGCAACAGCCAGGCCTGTTACGAAGGATTTGGTGCCGTGTCGAAAAAGGGTTGTCGACCCCGGTCGTTCGTAGGGGCACCCTGCAAGTGCCGAGAAAGTGGGTCAACGGGGCGGCTGCCTGCAACCAGGGCTTCCGTTTGGAGCATGTGGCCTGAGACTTATTAAGGAGAGCCATCGCGCCTCGCCTTCTTACTCTTCTCGATTCTTTCGTTCCACCGTCTCTTTCCGACACGAGTTTCGAAATGTGGTGCTACTTGGGTCACATCTTGACCCTGGCCCATCATGCTGCTTCGCATCTTATTGCGGTAAGCATCAACTGTTGAAGGTTAGTCAATTACTCTAGAATGTGAGAAGGCATTCACTTACGAGACTTTTGCAGAAACAATGTCCTGCCTGCGAAGACACGACTCTGGCTCCAGCTCATACGGTAACCGAGATCGTTGAGTGTAATCTCCTTCGACCGCTTCGCCCTAGTAAGACGCGGCTTCGGCACACGAGTCTCGCCATCGAGCGTTGGGACAGGAACAACAGTAGAGCCAGCCAGAGGAAAGCTGGGATCGCTCTCAACATCGGGCTCATCAGCGAAAACCTTGCTGCCACGAGGGCTGGCAGGTGGAGAAGTCATTTGCATGGCAAAGTAGCTGCGAGGGAAGACCGAGTTTGACTTGCGGTAAGAGTCGGGCATCTCCTCCATCTTGACAGTGTCGAGAGTAACTCGTACACGCACCCTAGTTCCTCGTTGCGCGTCGTCCACAAGAATGAACTTGCGGCGCTTCGAGTCAGGTAAGTCGCCGAACATGGCTAGCTTTCGCTCCTCTTCGTCTTGCTCTTGCTGTTTTGAGACGGGTACGCCCGCTGCGTGTGATGGTGGCGGAGGATGGCCCAGTCCATCATGGATCGGCGGCATACCGCTGGATCCTGCCACTGAGTCGCTCGATGGGAAGCTTGGGTAGAAGTTCTGAGCTGGACGCCCGTCGGTAGGTGATGATTGTTGCCCGTTTGGCGCTTGATGATGATGAGTGTGCGATTCACCGTAGTCATTGGCTGTACACAAAGAAAGTTAGCTTGCACGTCCGAACATGACTCTACTTGCCATCCTGCGCTGAACCAAAAGCATGTGTGACTATGGAGTGTGGGTATATCTGCAAACATGTATGGGCAGTGGTATCGAAGGGGGTATTACATCAAGGAGTGTGTAATGTACATGTAGAAAGAACGACAAGAGGTATCATTTAACAGGCCAACAATCGCGCTTTATCACATCACATCTGGTGAAACATACCGCTAACATCATCCGGTCCTCCGTGGGGCCCTCCAGGTCCGTCATGGTGATGGTGCATCTGGGGACCACCCATGCCCATGTTCGGTTGTCGAGGTGGTGCAGCTAGTCCGGCAGAGTTTGGGACACCAGGAGCACCTGGTCCACCTGGTCCAGCCATGTGGTTACCATGTGTAGCCGATTGGGCTTTCCTCGTGGTCATCTTCGCCATTCTTCGTACGCGTCGGCTCCTCAATCGAGGATCTTGGTTGCTGTTTCTCCAGCTGTCGACAGCTCGCTGAATGAGGCCACGCTTACCGCGCAAGCATGGGTTCAGTTGCGCTAGCGCCCACCCCACTGTGTTGCACTCAGTTTCGTAGTGTAGACGGTTGCCCTTGTACTGGTCTTTGGCGCAGCAAGCGCGTGGGTATACACAGTTCTCAGTCTTGAAGTCTTGCGGGAGCTCGTCAACGTTGATAGATTCTACGTCGCAACGAATGGTGTACTCCATCTTGACCCTGTCGCGAGAATACTCAAACGCGATCCATTGCACACCGTTCTGGTCTTGTCGCACAACAAGCGGAGTAGTGGCAGGAATAGGACCAGGCGCAGCATTAGGGTTAACGTTGGGTCCCCCGGGAGGGCCAGCGTGCATGTTGGGAGTACCGACGGGAGGACCTTGAGGCGGGGCTTGTGGCGGGCCAAGTCCTGATGGCGGTCGCTGCAATGGCGTTTGCGACATTCGCGACTTGGGACTTCCGGTCATTCCGGGAGTTTGAGGATGGTGCTGCTGATGTTGTTGTTGCTGTTGTTGTTGCTGCTGGTGTTGCATTTGCTGGTTTTGCTGGTGGGACATGAGCAGCGATTGCGTCGCCATTGGTTGCTGAGGCGCACTTGAAGGGTGCTGTTGGTAAGGTGACTGTTGAGGTACTGGGGCCGAAGCGTACGGTGTGTAGTACATTGACTGAGGCATCTGGCTCGGCGGTTGTCCATAGATTGGACGGCCGTGCTGGTCGTGCTGTGGAGACTGAACAGATGCTGGTGAGTTTGACTGCGGGGTGTGATACGAAATGGGTGGGTATCCACCGCGATTCATCGTTGCGGCTGCCATAAGCTCTGGGGTTTCTGAAAAAGTTAGATTTCCATTTTCCGCTTGCTTGACGGGATATACAACGGGGGCATCCAAGTCGAGGCGTCATTAATGCGCTATGCGCATGGACATACGCGTCGTGATTTGTGTACCAAAAAACAAAACATACCTGAGGACGAGTAGTTACTCGGCGCACTGTTGGTGCTGTAAGGGCTTTGGTGGTGCTGAGAGTAATAAGGAACCTCTTGCTGCTGCTGCGGGGGTGGGGGACCTTGGA